CTGCCTTGTGCACCGCAGGCTGCAGCACGGAGCAGCCGCCCTGCTTCGCTGGGCACAAGTGACTGAAAAGCCACCAGAAAACAGCAGAAAAAAAATTATATACAATAAATATTTATTCTTGCTTAGTATTTCCTCCTGAAAGAAAAAAAACCTTAGAGCAGGGATTAATTTTACACATTCTGCCTGCTCAGCTAATGCCCTTCAGCAAGGTTAATCTTTACCCAACGCGAGTCTGAAAATTAAATCCACCGTGCTGTATAAACTTCCTGTGTAGTTTGATTTAATTTCTTTCATTCACCACCAGWATGATATATGCACTTTGAATCCACAAACACTTCCTCTCCGAGCAGATAATTCACGAAGAGGCGCTCCCCTCCTTCCTTCTCCCCGTTGTGTATCTTAATTAATGCTTCAAGTCTGGCAGCTTTTTGATTTCCATTTCAACAGGGTCTCTGATCAGTCTGCTTGAAAGAAAAACCTCAAAAAGAGATTTTTTTCCCCCCCTCCTTTTGTTGCTGCCTGAATTTCTTCTGGCATGGCCTGAATTTCTTCTGGCATCTTGGCCAGGGAGCAACTTGGCTCAACGGGGGGACCAATGCAGGACCAAGAGCAGAGCCAGCCCAGAAGCGGCTTAGATATTTGCAGCCCTTGAGGGCAAGGGGACCTGGCCTCGAAAAGCCCAGGGTCCCTCTGCTAAAGCCGACACGCAGAGGAAYAGCAAATTTACAGGGCTGCAGAGCAGCTCTGCAAAGAAAAAAAGATAAAAAAAATCTGAAAAAAAAAATAATAGCACGGCGTAGAAAATTTGTGCAAGGAACATCTCGTTGTCAAATTAACATATTAATAATTASGCAGAATGAGAACGTGAAGTCCCAACAGGAGGCGCGACGGCGGCGCGTTGGCTCCGGCGCCGTGTCGAGCTAAATTTGAGCGCTTCCGAGCGCTCCTCCGCACGCATCTCCTATGGAACAAGAGCGTCGGCTTCGCCCTCGATGAGAAAAGCTGCTGCTGCTTCAGGGTTTTTGGGTTTCTGCTTCTTCGGGGTGTTTATTTTTGCTCCTGGATAAGTGGGAAAACCCACTGGGAATGAGCGTGATTTGCCAAGTTTCGCTTGTCGGGAAGGGAGATGCGTTCAGGGCCTGAAGGGTGGAGCTGGCATCTCTGGAGGGAACCGCTTTGCGGCCACGATGCTCAAGGACACTCAAAACCAGAGCCAGAAGTTACAAGGAGCAAGTGAAATAACCACGGGGACCATAAATAAAGTGGTACCCTTATATAACCATAAATCCTGTTTCTTCCTGCTTGGAAGAGACAAACCAGAAGTGGTGTCTTCAGGGGTGTAACTTGGAGCCAAGTCCCCAGACCTGCGTGTTGATGCCATGCCCTGAGAAGCTGCTGCTGTTGAAGGTCTCCTTGAGGGCCCAAGTCCTTGATGGTCCTCAATCCGAGAGGCATCCCAGGATCCCCCCAGCTGGAAGCCTGCAGTGTTGGGATGAACCCAAGGCTTTAAGGATCCAAAAGCTGGCTCTGTGGTGGCCTTAAAGGATGACCTTCATACCTGGCACGAAGCAGTGGATTCCAGCTGCTTAAACAGCTGTGGGGAGATGCGGAGAGCATCAGTCCTGGGTGCTTTTGGAAATGATTTGGCCAAGCCAAGCAGGCAATTCCTGCCTGCCTGAAGGAAAGAAAAAGAAAATGGAAAGAAAAAAAAGAGAGAAAAGGGAGGGAAAAAAAAAAGAGAAGGCCTCCTTGCAGTGACACAGTGATTTATGGATAACTATATGATAATATATTGCTTCCCACCTACTGCTTTTGAGCTATGCAGAGGAGGGAAAAAGGGAGCAAAATGGGAAAGCTCCTTGGCAGGGAGAGCAGAGCAGGGCACTGCAGGAGCATTTAGTGCCGCAGGGCTTGGGTCTTGCCCAAGGCGGTGGGACAAAGGGGTAAATTCACCTTGCACTGTATTATTTTTGCTAGAGACGCTTCAGCTTAAGCTTTAGGAGGTGGTGAACTGCCAAGAGGCATCTCCAGCACTTGCCCTTTCCCATGGCAAGGCTTTCCCACATGCTATAGGTCGTATCACTTCAATTCATTTAACTGAGAGCTTAATAAAAAATAAAAAAAAAGAACAGGAACTAGACTTAGTTGACAAGAAAAGACGCTGGATGGAAAGCAGATGATTATTGGAAGAAACTGTCTTGCCTTTTATGCATGAAAATCATGCTCTGCCCCATGCTTTGCATACCCGCTTCGTGCTAAAACACATTCCTCCTCTCTTCTAGTCACAGCCTCCTACCTGGCCTGGCTGTTTTCCTCTTTCTAGCAGAGCTTTAGCAGTACTAAAGAAGCCTAAGACTTATTATATATAAATATATATATATTTTTTTTAAAAAAAAAAGAAAAAAAACCATGCATTTTCTTCTGTGTTTTTTTGCCCAAACTCACCCTTGGGAACAAACCCCCAAGATCCTAAATTTGATCCTCGGCAATGCTCCTTTTTTAAGCCACTCTTATTTTTGCCCGTCGCTCTTGTGAAAGGGGGTATTTTGGGTGCAGAGCTTTGCTCTGGGGGCCGAGGACGGTTGGGGTGTCCCCCCCCCGATGTCACCTCGTCCTGCACAGAGCCTGGGGGCTGCAGCACAGATTGCGCTGCCAGGGGATGCGCCAGAGCTGGGAATCTTCCTCCTCCTCCTCCTTCCCACAGATGAGGAAGAAAGCGGGAAGATGAAGTCAGGCACRCGCATTAAAGGAGAGATTTTTTTAAATACGCCTCCAAGATCCCTCAGCTTTACTTTCAAGCAAGTTACCCTGCAAATGGAGCTGCTCTGGGACCAGCCAAGCTCAAGCTGGCCCAAAGGCACATTCCTCGTCACCAAGAGGTAGGAGAGAGACGCAGAGATCCTCCGCTCTCCATCCTTGGCCCACACACCACCTTTATTCATGCAGGTGCGTTTTGACAAGAAAAAAAACTCAGATTCTGGCACAAACCTGAGACATCTYCAGTTTTTCACAACCTGCTGTCTCGTGCGGATCTGCCCAGGAGGATTCTGCACGTCTTACCCGGCAGGCACAACCACCACGTCCCGCTCCAGCACCAAACCACGAGAGATGAGCACCGCGCTGCACCTTCCCCRGCCAGCAGCTCCAGGCGCCCTCGGACCCGCACGCGGATCTCGGCTAGCAGAACACACAGCACTTCTTCCAACCAGGAGATCTGCTCCTCTGTCTGCCCATCTCGGTGCTGTTTGCTGCCGACAGCCACGCTCCAGCATGAGCATGGGGGACAGCATCACCTCGGGGCGCCTGCAGGACCGAGGGCAAAGCTCTCTGCTCAAGTTTAAATAATTCCGTCTATTTTTTTCCCCCCTATTTTCCTCCCCGAGTTCAGCTGCCTCTGCTTGGAGTCTGCTTGGAGGGAGCTTTGGCTGCAATATCCCAAGCTTCCCGTCTCCAATGAGGTAATTATACACACACTTAATAAAGGACACAGGCTGCTTACCTCTGGATCTCTCTTAGTTTGATAGGTGCTGTGCCCAGAGGCAAGAGCAGAGGTGGAAGGGCCAGGGCTGTGACCGGAGATCCTGCCCCGCTGCTCCTCTTCCTGAATCCATGGCTGGGTGAAGGCATCAGCTCCCGGGGACCACGACGGATGAAGATGAGGAAACGATGGGTGAGGAGACCTGGTGGCCTCCTCCTCTCAGTCCCAGCAACGGCAACACCCATTGAGTCCATCCGCGTTTCTCATGGAGCGAAGACAGATCCCAGGCTGGGAAGTCGGAGTCCTCTCTCTAATGTCTGTCTCTCATTATTTCTCAGTATATTTTGGGTTTGGGGGCTTYGTCCTTCCTCCGATGAGCTCTCGGGGTTCCGCTGAGCAGAGGGGCCGTGGGAAACCACGCTGCAATCAACTCCAAGAAGACATTCACATCACGGGGGCTTAGGTGGAAACAGTAAACTTGATTTATTGAAAAAAAAAATCTATTACATTTTTTCCTTTATTACACAGGTTTAAAATATTTTAAAATAGCTCTTATGGGCATTACACTTAAATTTTATGACATGTTTATTGGACTTCGAAGAAATGTACAATACGTCATTTGACAGTATATTTTAAAAAGGGCCTTAATGTACTAAATTTTTTTTTTCCATAGGTTTATTTTTCTTATCAACATTTGTTCAAGTCATATATATTAAGGAAGGAGGGAAATAAAATTACACAAAAAGAAGGTCTGCAAATACAAGTAGTAATTTTATTGCAATATACCGTAGAGCTAAGTGGTCTGGGGGAAAATCGGAACAGTTTTGAACTTCAGTACAATTACAACACTGCGGAAGTCGACAGAGGGTTTTTCTTTTCTTAAAGCAAAGAAATAAAAGAAAAAAAAAAAAGAGGGGGGGGAAAAGCTCCCTTGATGAAACCCCCCGGTAGCAGAATCACACGACCTAGGTGGATGTGCACGCATGGATGTGGCTTTGCTGCAGAGGGACATGCCACCTCCGCTGCCCTCCCGCTGTCCCCGCACGAGCTCTGACCGGAGCCCGACGCGTCCCCCCCTCGCCTGCACCGCTTTGCTCTTGGACTCGCCCCTTTTTAGGGTAGCACCTTTTTAAGGATGATTTCCCCCCTTTAAATTCAGGGGGGAAACAATAGACCAGAAATAAAACAGGACCGAGACGAGGGAGGCGGATGGAGCCGCTCTCGGGGAGGGAGAAGCACCTCGCGGGATCCGCCGCGCTCTGCTGGGAAGGAGCGGGGAAAAGACATCATATATAGGCTTTTATTCACAGTAAATGTGATGTCATTTCCAGCACGGCGGCAGACCCCCCTCCTCGGGCTCAAGCGCGTGCTCGAAGGCTCCCGGCCACGTTAAAAGCCCTGCAATGTCTCTATTTTCCAGCCGAGCTAGGAAAKGGCCTGGGAAAAAGGGGGGAAAAAATAAAATAATAATTAAAAAAAAAAAAAAAAAAGGAAGCTGGTGACAGCAGCAGGCTGCAATCTGAAAATGCCACATGGGAGAAAAAGGCGTTCATGGGAAGACAAGGAAAATTGCACACTGTGGGAGCTGCATCCTCTCACCTCCATACGGGAACAAATACATAAATTAGCACCACGAACACGGAGCGACCGAGTACAGGCTGGCCTGGTTACTGCTGCATAAAATGCATGAATATTCTTGGAAAAAAATAAAAAAAAGAAGAAAACAGCACATTTAATTACTTTCTATATGGGCCACATAAGAAACCACAATACAATGGAGAAAAAAGCAGGTTTCCTACATAACACGGAGGAAGGCGGCATGAATTTCTAACCAGAGAGGCATGCACTCTGCATGGGAAATGAAGGATGCGGGAGGCTGGCCACTGGCAGGGAACCACCACTGTTGCATTAAAGATATTCAAATAGATAGCACCACAAAGAGAAATGTAAAAACAGAGAGCACCTTTTCTTTCGTCTTTCTTTTCTTTTTTTTACATATTATATGAAGAGAGGACCAATGGATCTCCCCTGCCAGGCCAATCTGCCGCCAGGAATGGATTTATGTCTTCATTTTAGCAGAATTTTTGAAGTAGGGGGAGAAAAAGGCAGGAAAAAATTAATTTAAACCACATAGCTAAAGGCAAACAAGCGAGTAAAAAAAAGCTATTTCAACTGCATCCTGGTTTTGAATCAGGGTTTGGTAGAAATTTTGTTAAAAAAGGGGCTTTTACTATTATTGCTTTGGAGCAAACGGCTCCAGAAGGCACCGGTGGCTCTGGGGTTGCTTGGCTGGCACCTCGGCTTAGGCTTAGGCTTAGGCTTGAGCGCAGCCCCCGAGCACCCCCTGTCCCTGCTGGCCTGAGGCACGGGGGGACAACGGGGACCAACGATGGCATTTTGAGGGGGCCRCGTGGTTGGGAGGTGAGCAACAATACGGACAGGGTCACATGCATGTTTTGAAGCTGGAGACGTTTAAACATTTAAAATAATATAAAATACATATATTTACTTACAAACATACAAAAATATAAGCACCTTTAACACCCGGGAAGGAGATGCCCAGTGTGATTTTTTCGTCGTTGTTTTTGCTGTCAAATTTATCGGGTTAATTTTTGATTAAAAAAAGTAATAATAGATGGTTCAATGGAGGCACTGGAAACTCTGGAGATGGTCATTACTTCTGCTTGCATCCAGATCTCATGGAAGTCAACGAGCCGGCTGTGCTGCCCCGCGGCAGGGCTCGGGTTAGTCGGGACTTCAACATCAAGTTGAACGCAGGAGTTTCAAGTTTTTCCATATATTTTTTTTTCCCTTAGGAATAAAGCAAGCCAACGGAGAAAATAACCTAGAGACAAGCGCTGGGCGTCACGGCACGGCAAGAGAAAGTCCTAGCTCTGCTTGTGCTTGCGGATTCCCCACGGAGGGTCGTGCGATTCTGCGCCCGGAGCGGGGATGCGGCTCTYGGTCGGTGATCCCGGCAACGTGGGAGAATTCGGGAAAAAACGAGGAACAAAACGGGGAAGAAAAAAAAAAAAAAAACCAACAACCCATCACTGTCCAGTTTCAGAACGTGCATGTGACAAGGGATTTTCTTTTTTTCTTTTTTTTTTGATTTTTTTAATTCGTTAAATGGCGCAATGAGGTTACGAGGTTGCTCATTTGGAGACTAGTTTTCAGGTGGCTCTTAGCCCAAGAAGCAAGCTGGTCCCACCTCGAATCCAAATTTCTGTGAGGCTTCTCCGAAGTCATTGAACATGATGTCGACTACAGGGACTTGCTCTACCTTGGGCGTGTTGATCTCCAGGATAGTCTTCTGATAGCCCTTCTTTGCCTGAAGAGGGGAAAAGGGAGAAAGAGGAACACTGATAATGACCCAATGCTGCGACAGCAAGCTACCACCCAYGAGCATCTGCCAGTCTACATGGAGATGACCTTGCTGAAGTGCCATCAAAGCTGATCCACAGGGACCCGGTCCCCAAAGACGCCACATTCACCCCAAAACTTAGCAGATTCTTGCACCATATCCATGGAACAAGGCGAAGGAGCTGGATTATTTGGGTTTTATGCACCCCACAAGGACACACACGACGAGGTTGGAGTCCCTGCACTCTCGCGCCGGTCACAGCTAACAAAACCTGAGGACAACACAAGGAGGAGAAGGCTCCTGATGACAACAACCCTATGGGCCAACCTGCACCGACGGGAGGTGTAAAACAAAGAACCAAATCTGGAGAAACAGAGAAGGGTCAAATAAAACAGGGTCTGGAAGGACAAAGCGTCAAGCGATGCCGCTGTCACAACTAGTGACCTGGATGGGGAAGGAGCTGTCCCCAGCACCCACGGCTGGGCACAACGGGGAGGGACGAGGGCCTGAGGAGCAGAAGAGGCTGTTGCTGTGCAGATCTAACGGCACTGAAAGCAGCTCCTCAGCACGTCCCAGGGCTGGAGCAGGAGACCAGGAAAACGGTGGCTGCGGTAGAGTTGTTTTGCCTCCCTGAGGACATGCATGGGTTGTTGAGCAAATGTGAGCGATTTAATTTGAATATATTAGTTTGACTATTATACCCGAGCGCTCCCGAAAACACCGCATTTAAAGTTTGATGGAATTCACAAGGTGAGGGTGTCTCTTTTTTATCGTGCCTGGTAGCCATACAGTTGCTCCCAAAATATAAATAATTATTAGGGGAGCAGAAGCGCACCCGAGGGCATGCAAAAACTGCACAAACAAGTGAATTTATGGGGCAGTTTTTGGTTCTCCCTTACGCGCTGATTTGTGCGTCTCAGCAGAACAGTCTACATCACAGCTGCACAAAAAGGGCTGGAAAAACACAGCCAAGTTATGGCCAAACACCTCAGCCCTGGGCAGCACCRCTGCATCCTGCAGCCAGGTCCAAACAGCAGCGCCCTATCCCAATATCCTATCCCCCAAAATCCAGCCGGGAGCATCCGGAGCAGCACCTGGGACCTGAATTGCTCCGCTCCCACAGTTCCCATCACCGTCCCCTGCTGCTCATTTACGTGAYATCTCCTCTCTGTGACATTGAGACTGGTAACAGCGGGCTGCGTTCCAGCCTCCCGTCAGCAGCCGCAGTGGCAAATAAACCCCCAGGAGCTGCACCCCTTCCCAWGCAAATATCCCTCATTAGGGAGAGCAGCAATGTAGGGCACCTGAGCAGAATCTCTTAGGCAAAGTGCCCTCATCAGGCACCTCATCCTTAAAATATGTGACGTGCCATCTTGCAGCATCCCTGGGACTTAACAAGGGAAACAAACGGGAGTATTTTTTCCCTCTTTTTTATTCAGAGGACGCGTTGCATTAGCAGGAGATGGGAAGTACTTGAGGATAAACTTCCCCATGTGGTTTCTGTGCGTTTGCAGCAGAGAAATGAATGTCCCTTCCCTCTCTGCAGCACCATTACGAGAATAAGCGATTCTAATTTGATTTTCCTCCTTGCTCCCACGGTAAAAAAAAGTGTCTGCCAAAACAGAATCATTTTAATCTTGGATAATGAGGATTTTTTTTTTCTCTCCCTGTTAAGCATCTCTCAGCTCCTGCAAGGGGCCTCCAAATGGGTGCAGGGGCCTCCAAATGGGCRCAGGAGCCCCCAGATGGGCGCAGGAGCCCCCAGATGGGCGCAGGRGYCCCCCAAATGGGCGCAGRAGCAGTGGCAGCCCGGGAGCACTCACCGCGCAGCCGTCGAGGGCGGCTCGGATGTAGGGGTTGTTGTCGTAGGACATCTCCTCGTCGTTGGAGCCCAGGAAGCGGATGGCCTTGTCGTAGCTGTCGGTGGTGGCGTCGTGCCACGCCACGGACTGGTAGCAGTTGTAGGTGATGTTCTGGCGGGCCGAGGCGCTCAGCAGCCGCAGGAAGGTCATCTGCACCACGCCGATGGGGTTCCCGTCCGCATCCACGTAGGAGAGCTGCGGGAAGGGGACAGGCTGCGCAGTGAGGGCCCCRCTGCCCACCTCGGGACGCTCGCCCGGGCTCGTGGAAGCACGAGGTGCTTCCAGCCCTGGGGCTGGGCTACCAGGGACCACTCCATCCTTTGCTGTTGACGCCTGGCTAGGAGGCTGCAGCTGGGGAAAGCAAGGGGAGTTGCAACCCTGGCGTGTGCAGGGTGGAGCTGGGGGTGCTCCCTGCTTGCTCCGACTGCCTGGCCCCATTCTGTGCGTGCTGGGGTATTTCCCCAGCATATTACCCCATGCTGGGGTATTTCCCCAGCATATTACCCCATGCGTGCCCAGGCACTGCCTTCTAAGCAAACCTTGCACCTCCTCTGCAGAAATTCTGCTCGTGCAGATGAGGTCCGGGATGGGGGTGCTCAGTGGAAGAGAAGGGATGCTCCCTATCCCTGTGCATGCCCACCCTTGTGCAGGGATTTGCACCCTTCTGCAATCCCTTCTCTCCCCAGGAACACAGTGGAATATATTATAGGAATATAATATATAGGAATATAATATATAGCAATATATTTCTGCAAGCCACAATCTACAGAACCCCCCTGCAGCACCTCAGGATTCGCCTTGAACCTGGGGATAACATTAAGGTGGGACTTTAGCTCCTACCCCACCAAGGAAGCAAATGTGCAATGGGTCAGCTACATTGCACGTGCAAACTGACTGCAATGAGGTGGCACCTCCAGCCACGGCCAAGCTATGAGAGCTGCTGCTCATGGCTGGGAGCTCTAGRCAGTCCACGTCTTTTGAAATAACTGGGAGAAAAATTCAGGCACGAAAACAACGTAGGGTCCTTCGAGGCACCACAAAAGCACCGAGCTGCCGGGTGAGCTGCAAACAGTAGAAGAGATTCATAACCAGACAATACAACCATGTGCAAAAGGGAATAGAAATAAATGAATATACCAACCGGTTGTCAGGATACTGTTGCACTGTCCTCCTGAGAGCTAAATATGACTGACCAGGAGAAAGCCAAACATGCCAGGCGCAGAGAGGAGCCAGAGAGCCACCAGGACGTAGATGGAGAGGAACAGAAATTTAAGGGACATTGCTGCTCTTCTACAGATTGCACAAAGGCTTTTCCTTTTGGAGCTCCAGCCCCTGAGAACCAGCCGTGCACACAGAGTGTGCTCTGGGAAGGGGGTTTTGCAAAAAAAAAAAAAAATCTTTTCCTTCATTTGTTTTTAAGTGTGATAGCATTTGGTTTTGACATAGGCCATCTGGCACTGAATGATAATAGGACTGGCTGGGTGGAAGGGCTTGTTCGGGCCAGTGGGAATTCTGTGTGCACATGGGAGGAAAGTCCTCAAGGAAGCACCCGGAGCCCTTTGATCCCTCTAAACGTGTTGGCTGCRTCAGGACAAGTGCTAGGAAAACAGYTGGGAATACTCTGTGTTCCTCAGGTACTGATCGATTAAGATGTGGAAACACCAAAATAAGACGGTTTCTGCGTACTTCAAATTTACCGTGTCCTTCCTGCTTTGGATGTCTCCTGCCCAGAAAAAAAAGGCAAAAGCTGCCTGGATTGCACACCCTGTATCAAGCACCGGMTGCTCCCATCCATGGGAATCTCTCCATAGACTTGAGGCAGCCTTGGGATCAGTGTCCCAAARGGTGTGGGAAAACTCAAGCTCACTTCTCCAGGCACATTTCTCTCCTTTTTTTCCTATTCCCTAGCTCTAAATCACTAATAGCAGCAAAACGAGAGACGCTTTTACAAACTAAACCTCGTTTTTACGGCTTGTGTGCTTAAAATATTGTCTTCTACTTAAAAAAGGTCATCTATGTGCTGGTGGCTTTTTTTGCTTTCTCAAACAGTCAACGCAGGACAGCTAAAAGCAAGAAAACAGCAATGCAGAAAGTGGAACARAGGGGCTCTACGCTGAAATTTCTATTTAAAAATTGGGCCCTAAAACCTACTTTGGCTATTCAGCCTCTACAGTAGCTGACAAACAGACTGAAGAAAAGCAGAGAAGACGGCAAAGAGGAGGTACTCGTAACATTAATTGATGAAGTGCTCTAATTAAGCTATGAATGATTGCCCTCCAAGTCGCTAAGAGCTGAAGCTTTGGCTTGACAGCTGGATTCGCCGGTGCAGAAGGAGCTACAGCAGCCGTTGCGTTCTCGTGGGCAGAATCAGAGCGTGTGCTTAGCAGCAAGGGAAGGAAAACGTCGGGCTGCTTTTCCTTTTTGCTTGCCTTTTAAGGTGGAAGTTTCTCTGCATGGCAAGAAACCTCTGTGACGGTGCCGGAACTGAGGATAAACTCATTCGCCACATTCCACTAATTCCAAGGGATGTGACATGCAAGTGGGATCTGTGGCTCAAAGAGACTCAATTCATCGTAGTTATTAGCTGCTCTGAGGTCCTGGACCAAGGCTTGACCACATCTACCCACAGCACGACCATCCTTTTCACAGGATTAAATACCAGGGATTTATTTCCTTTTCAGCTGTCTCAACATCTTGCTTTTCTTGCTGACGTTAATGCCTTGTTTGACCGCAAGATAGGTTTTCTCCCTTTAAAAATCCTTAATTGTGACTAAGCCAAGCTCTAGGCTGCTAGGCTTGAAAAACGCCTGGTTAGAAAGCTGATTTTGAGTCAGTGACTTCTCCCAAGCTAAGGGGCTGGCGGAGGTACATGGGGCTCTGCTGCAAGGACTGCCCCATACTGGAGAGGGGCAGATTCCCAGGCTCAGCACGGACTCCAGGATACACTGAACAAGGCAAACAACAAATATGGGCTGCACAGCCCTGTTCCACACCGAAGCATTACATAAGAAGTCTCCCAGCATCTCTCTGGATAAGACCACGCTGCATCAGCAGCTCTCCCTATCTCTTAAAGTCAGGMAGAACCTGGAACTGGGGAAGCATCCGCACTGGATCCTATTTTCTTTCCAGCATTCCACCTTAAAGGTTTTCCAGGTGCCTCGTGAGGGTTAATTAGTCCAGCATGCAGAGTGCCACGGGCTTGGCCATTCCAAAGCAGGAGACGTGCCGGGATTGCGGCTCGAGCGCCAAGGTTAGCCACTTACCAGAGACCCCCGCTTGTATTGACTATACCATGTGGAAGGCTGCTCTTTGGGCCAGCGAGCCATTTTACTCTGTAAAATATGACACGGGTTAAAGAAAACCAGAAAGCAGCAAGATGCATCTTACCAGTTTACCGCGCTTGAATTCACTGAACCAGGAGCCTGGGTTTTCCTTGGGCCAAGAAGTAATYCTAGCCTAGTTTGTGGACGGCAAGTTGGAAAGGAAAGAGAGAAAAGAAAGAAAGAAAGAAAARTTAAAAAAAAAGTACATTCAGTTTTGTAAGCAGAGTCTGCATGTTGTACTGATATTAGTCCATTTGCTAGAGAAATATGTTTTCTTAACCTTTATCCACTGGTAATAAATCTAGACTGCCAAGCCCTATGGACCCAGCAGCCTCAAAATGAGACCACGGATGGTGTGGCCCTGTGTTGGGGTGCTCCACTGCTGCACAGCAACGTGGACGGTGCAGCATCACCCTCCTTTACAGGATAATAACCTGTAACCCTAAATACTTGGGATGCAAAATTGTCAGTACAGTCCTTTTCAGGAAAGAAGAAAAAAGGAGAAAAAAGGAGATATTAACAGTAAACAATCCATGATCTTCACGGGAGGGTTAGGCTGGAAAGGGGATGTTGATAACAGAGAAGGCTGCTGTGTCTAAATCCAGATGTGGCAGGGCTGGGAAAGGTGGAGAGACTGGGATTAAAAAGCCTCTATTTTCTATACTTGTGCATCAGTGAAGCCCAGCCTAAAAAGCCTCTATTTTTTACACTCATGCAGCAGTGAAGAACGGCCCACAGAGCAGGGCCTCCTCCGCAGAGCGTGACCCATCCTGCGTGATGGGGCTCCAGGCACCGGGAGCGACGCCGCAGGCGACCTTGACAAGAGACGAGCTGTCAGAGCATCCTCTACGGCAGACCTGTCTAAGCAGCTGAATCCTTTTTTTCTCTGGTTTAAACACAAGGAAGGAGTGTGTTTACAGTCCACACTCCTGCTCTTCCACATGTTCCCTCACTTCTGTAGTAAAGGTCTCCAGAAACAACCGCAGAATGTAATACAGGTGTCTGGGGGACTGTCCTCTCCTTCCCCATCAAGCAAGCCAGTGTGTCTCTACAGTGCTAAGGATGGACTAAAATGGAATATGGCTTAAAATCTATTGTAGTTTATAATAAAACCACCCAGCCAACACTTAGTGCTAGCACAGTAGCTGTTTTCCTCCTGCTATGGGGAAACACAGCAGGCTGAACCTTTTTCTGCTTTACGAGAGCATTGCAAAAGTGTAACACCATTTGCATTTGGGCAACGTCCCAGCTGGTGGCTGCAGGACTCCTACAGAGCCAGTGTGACAGTAATTTGAGTACGGATGAGCTCAATTTATCAATACGTGTGAACTCCATCAACCTGGTGCACCAGGGGCAAGACAGAGCTGAGGCTAGTGTCAACCATCCAGGAAATCAAATCTCCCCAAGAAACACCAGGAAAAAAAAATACAGGAGATAAATATTGTCTGCTCTGTCTGAAGACAAAATAAGGGAAGAGGAGTCAGTAGTGCTTGTGTTTGCAAACAGCAGGGCAGACAGGCTACAGGAGGGAAAACAGGGGATGAATCGAATGAGCCTCCACTGGACCCACAGTTCTGGTGCCAACACAAACTTCTGCCTTTGTAAAGCAAAATAAAACATTAAGCTTTTATCATGCCTAGGAAACCATCAGACTGGTTCTAAAACACTGTTTAAAAACGACTTTTCGCTCAAAGAAATGCTCTTTGTATACATATTGCTTATTGTTTTAGGAGCTTATTTTATRTAACAAAAATATCCCGTTTCTTTAATGTTTGAATTTTTGATTTCATCTGAGATTGGCTGTCTGCGAACATTTGCATTGAGAAACAATCTATTGTCATCACCATATGGGGGAGAAAAAGATTGCATGGACTTACTCCTTCTGATTTCTTGTCAGGGAAGATGCAAGTCTCTCCACCAGCTGTGAAATTACAGTAAACTTTGAAAGAGTCCCGAGAGCATCCTTGGTTAGGATCAACCCAGTATTCACCTGGATTGGCAAAAGAGGGAAGAGAATGGAGGAAAGAATCAGCACATTGAAGCCAGAACAACGGGAAGGTCAACAACCATCTTATCAGGGATATTTTGACCCAGAGATGGACTAATGTTATAAGTATTCTTGAAAAAATGGTTATGTTCTAGATAACACTGTGACACCTCACAAGAGCAGCTATTTCRCATTAAGTGTCCCTGTTCTCCTCTACTTATTGCTTCTTTGCCCGCCGCATTTCTCTCGTGGGGCTGAGGAGTGTCCAAATTATTTCTCTTGCTGCATTTGATGGTATTCATTGCACGGAGCCACTGTGAAAGCTGCTGTTTTGCCCGGACACCCTCCACCCCAGGACGCACCGTCTGGGAAATCAGGGTGACAGAGCTGCAGGTCCTTGCAGGTGCGAGCTGGGTTGTGTTGAGTGCCCAAAGGATGCTTCATTTGCTCGATTTCCAGTTTCAAGGAATTCAGTGAGCCAAAAATTTCCTCCATGCCATCTGCATAGTCCATATAGTTGTCCGCATTGCCGTCGTCCACCAGCTGGCTGGCATCGATGTTTCGCCTGGTCCTCTTGGATGCCTGGATGGGCAGGGGCTGGATGACTTCTCCAGGAGGACCCTGACGTGTGGGGAAAGAAAATACAACTTCCCATCAGCAAAAGAGACCATTGTGCTGAGAAACAGCATGGCAAGATACATGCTAGACATGCAGAACATCCATGAAAACCTCAGCCAAGCTTGAGGGCTGGCTCTATGCTCTCTCATCTCCCCACTAGCAACTTCTCCCTTCACATCCTGCCTTCCTCCCCAGTATTTCTAAGAGATGCTGCTCACCATCTGCTGCATCTTTGTCTGGAAATCTTACATTTGCTAACATCACGTCACCCATTAAATCTCGATCTCATCTGATRCTTATGACGTAGGTTCTACTTACAGGAGGTCCTGGGGGCCCAGGTAGACCAGATTCACCCTTTGGACCCGTTGGACCCTGCATAGCAAAACAGAGGGATAAATATGAGTTACTCCAGGAAAAAAGTAACAAAAAATAACAAAAAAAGGAAAAACAAAAACTTAAATCACAGCCCAAATGCTATTCCTTYCATAGTGCTCTGTCACCTCAAGTGAGAGTGTAACAGCCTGTTGTGGCAAAGATTTTCTTCTTGTCCTTTTAGGAACACAAGAGGAGTCTCTTCCCCGCCTTCAAGAAACTATTTTTGGGGGGTTATTCTCTGATGTTTGGGTAAAAAAAACTCTGTCTAATATTGGAGTTAGACAGAAAAATTTTGTTGAAGTTTCCAGACGGAAAAGGCAGTGTCTTTCAATGCATGAAAATATTAACCATCCAAATCAATTTAGCATTTTATAAATCAAAAAACTAAAATGTATAAAACACTGTATCCTGTAAGGGCAAAAGTCTTTAGGAAGTTACCCAAGAGGAATTTTTAGCTACACGTACTGGAGAGCTGTGACATGAAGCTGGCTTTACTGTGGCATTTCTCACCAAGTTCTTTGCTATTTAGCTGCCACCTCCTGCTTCATGGCCTATTTTTACTATCCTCTGCTTTACAGTAGTAGGGTTTCTCCTAAAGAGCATGCATTGAATCCCTCCTTATGATCTTTGCTACACTGATGTTGAATAAAATACAATGCATGTAACAGCACCCTTTCCCAATTATAATTTCTGGATTTAGACAGCCTGAAAAGGCCACATTTGCCACCGTCATCTTTAGCTAATTGCCTTAATGTCACCAAAGTAGAGGAGGAGCAGCAGGTTATGCGTTTCATTTATCAATGTCTATACTTACTGATGATCCTTTAGCACCTTTGGGACCAGGTGGACCCTATATAGGGAAAAATACAAAGGGAGTTAGCACTGTTTTTATTAGAGTTGTTGTCAATCTGTCTCTCCCATTAAAAAGAGAGGCAGAATAATGCTAAACAGTGACAATAAAAAAATTAATGAAATAAAAGAAAGCTTCCTTTCTATGTTTCACATCCATTGGAGTTGGCTGTTGCTTTTATTTGCAAATGTGTCTGATCAGCCTCCCTGTCTGGGGACTGGAAAGCCTGTTGCCTGACTGCCATAACCCTATGTTGTTGTTCTTACAGGTCACCTACCGGTAATCCTGGTGGGCCTGGGGGTCCAATGGGTCCAGAAGGCCCTGTGATACCCTGAAAAAAAAAAGGGAGAAAGGCATTTATGTGAATGCAGAGATGCTGGCCTATAACTACACAGCCAATCCCTGCTCCCCACTCATTTGGAAGTCTCAAATTTGGAGATTCAACTGCTTTTCAGGCGTGCACATGGTTCAGACAAGAGTGAGAAGRGGGAAGCTCATATAGGCAGGCCCCTAGATGTATATTTAAGGTTAGCATCCCCCCCGGTATAATTCAGCATATTCACATGATCCTTTGGCTTGTGCTTTTCCACCAAAACAGGGTCCAGAGTGACTCACCTTTCACACAGGGAATAAAGCACTGCAATGCAGGAAATATTCCTCCAAAACTAGCAAGACTGTCCTGCTGTGACAGCACCCGACCACCTCTGCAGTTATTCCCCTTCTTCCAAGGCAATGAATCCCACTGTTCCAAGGCACATGCAATGAAGGTTGTGTGCAATGATCATTTACCTGCTCTCCTTTGGGGCCGGCTGAGCCCTGGGGTCCTGGGAGACCTCTGTCACCCTTCTCTCCCTGCTCGCCTGGCGGTCCAATAAGACCAATTAAGCCTGGATGACCCTAAGGGGAAACAGTAGATGTTAATTAGGCTCTCTCTGGAGGTGCCCAAAGCACCTARGCCTCCCATGAAAGACATTTCTGGAAACAAAAGCACAAAAAAAAAAAAAAAATCTTAGCAAGGTAACTATAGCAATTCCTGACCCCTGGAAGTCCCAGGGCATGCAGGAGCATTAGGTTCTTGCAGTCAAAAATGCTACAAATGCAGAAACAGAACTGCTGCACTATGGCGTCTCCTCATATCACATGCCAACACACATTATGGAAATTTCTGCAAGGTTGAGGCTCGTGCCCTCAAGCAAGGCAGGTGTTGGCGATGACACCGTCTGTCTGCAGTCACACACAGGCAGTGCCAAGGGGCACGGGCTGTGCAGCACTCACCTTCTCACCCTTGGGACCAGAGTCTCCTTTAAGACCAGGCAAACCAGGTGGGCCCTTTGGGAGACAAAAAGAGGGTAAAATAAATGAATGCATAACGAGAGAATATGAATCTCTAACATTTGTACATTTACACTACTTATAGAAACTCAGGATTCAATCAGTGTGCACATACCATTGGGCCTGGAGGACCGTCTGGGCCAGGGGACCCTGGGAGACCTTGTTCACCCTGTAAAGCAATGCAATCCRCTCAGACTGAGCACCCACAGAGAGGTGCTGCCCAGCTGTGGTCATTTTGATTATTCACCCATCCTTATCTGCTCTCCACAGCTGGGAAATGTTTGCCTTTACCTCCCACGAGGGCAAAGGGACTTATGTTCCTATCATGTTCAAGTCCCTACTGGAAAAGGGCTTAGGATCTCACGGAAATGTTATCCAGAGCAGATAGGCAGACTCAACACTCAGATAAATCATGCTGGGAAGGAATTTTTGTTGTTATATTATCTCCACTACTATGGCTTACTGTTGTCAGGCATTCAAACACAGAAATTATCAGCTCACTTGCAAACAAAATATTACAGAAAGGCATCATCCAAGGCAGATGGATTTTGGTAAAGCATAGGAAGCCATCCTGCTCAGCATCCTTCTCCATCTTTCCTCGTTTGGGGAATACTCACAACTGGACCAGGAATTCCTCGAAGGCCATCAGGGCCGGGTTTCCCTGGAGCACCTTGGGGTCCAATTGGACCAGTCTTCCCGGGAGGTCCTTCCAAACCAGCTTCACCCTAGACACAAGAGAGTTTGCTTTAATTTGCAATGGGGCATCAAACTGCAAGTTTGATTGGCACTGGCAGGACTTCACAGAATGAATGCAGGGCCCTGCATAACATTTAAAACTTCCTCTTGTGGAATCCTCTGGCTTCCTATCCCTTCCGTTCTGAGAATTAGCCTGTAAATGGCCTCACTTTTCAGTCCATTTCTGCTCATTTCTGCTAATTTACAGCACACTCTAGAGCAGGAACCTCTCCTTGTTAGCTCCTGTTGGAGCACGCCACGCTTTTTGTAACACACTAAATTGCCAAATATGGCACCTGGTCATTTCAGAAAAAGAAAAACATGCCCATAGCCTTACCAAGCCCTACTTATATCCAACGAATTTGTTAAAAGACAAAATAAACGTCTATATTTGAAGCTCACAGCCTCATATTCAGGCTAATTTGTCGCTACAAACCCCAAAATCAATTCACTTTCTTTCAAAACACAACTGTTATCAGTGTTTTGGCATGTGAAGGATATGGTAGAAGTCAAAATCCATTCAGCCCTTACCTTGGCTCCTTTCTCTCCTTGTCTTCCTTCAGGACCAGCTGGACCAGGGGGACCCTACAGAAAGCACAAAACAGATATAAAACATAGTTTGATCACCACACATCTGAAACGGTCTAGTGGAATTATCAAAATGATGCTACAGCCCCAGGGAAGAGGGCAACACAGAGCTAAATATTTCTGAAAAGCTTTATAAATCAACTTCTCGATAAATTAATCCCAGGGCTCTGCCAGCAAGGAAAGAAGAGCAGGAGCACTTAATATTTATGTTTTCATTTGGGTCTTAAAAACCATTAAAAAAATGGAATTTAGTGAACAACTTTCCATCAATTTCYAATAGTTGTAGATGGCATATTACTTTTTTTAAATGCAATTACTGCTTTGTATCTCCTTTAAACCTAAAAATAACACTGTTTAAAGAAAAATACTGCTATATAATACACAGAAAAATATTCCTATACAATCAGCTTACCCTTTTTCCTGGTGGTCCGGAGGGGCCCGGCTCTCCTGTGGGACCAGGGGAACCCTAAATGGAGAGCAGAGGAGAACAAGCCATAAATGCCCCATGAGATGTGGAAGGGAGGAGCAAACGTGTAAAACTCGAGCTGAGCTCTAGACTTTGTGCTAAGCCGAGGCGTAGGCGGTCAGTACAACTTCTGACACCTCCTCAGGGGTGCAGGTGGTATCTTGTTTTACTGCCCTCCCACAGTGTAATACCAGAAGGCACAGCAAACTTAAAGGCTAGATTTTGTGGGTTTTTTTCTTTTTTTTTCCCCCCTTAAGCTATTTTTTCTCCTCAGAATGTATTGCTGAGTAGCCAAGATAGATGGTTGCAACYAGGCTTAGGCAGAGAGGAAGGAAGGAAAGGGATTTACAGATGTAGGTGAAGCCAGCAGGACTTAGATGCTGTTGTTAAATGTGTATGTGTTAAACGTGTCATATGTGTGCACTGAAGTCCTCGGGTTTAGCACAGGAACTGCTGGGACTGGACACCACTTTACTCACAGTCTGCCCAGGCTCGCCATCATCGCCTTTGTCRCCAGGGGGACCATCTTGACCCTAAAAGGGGAGGAAAAAAGAAACAAGCAGCCTTACTTACAGCAAGAATGCTTTAAGGGCTATTAAATGCCAGRGGAGCTGCTGCTCAGTGACCAGGGAATAGTCACACTTCACAAAATCAAAAGGAAGAACTTAAGGGCACTTCTGTGAGACAAGCACTTACAGCTGGACCAGGTTCTCCAGGAGGACCAGGGTCACCAGGGAAGCCAACTGGACCCTGSAAAGAGATAAGAAAGATATCCCCAAATTAGAGATACTGCCTTTGGAGAACTGCAGTGCAGCAGGGACCTGCTGCTCCAGCAACAATGTGAAGAATCACCCYGAAGAACAAAACCCTGAATTGTCAACCCCAAACAGAACTAGTTCACATCCCAGCTTTGCCTYTTCAGCATATTCCACCCGATTACAACTATCTGTTCATCTCCAAAAGGGCCTATGGAAATCTCTGGTCTTAACACTGAGAATTTTGTCTAGTTTTTCAAAAATATATTGCCCAAGTGGCAGCGAAATCCTCGCAGCCGAGTGCAGATGAGGAGGCCTTGCATTTGCTTGCTACACGACGTGTAACATTTTCGCATGAAGATCCTCTCAACGCATTTAACAACTAAAATGCCTTCTGACTCTTCCCAGTACGATGTCTGCTGCGCATTTGAAAAGATTCCGAGAAAAAGCGTTCACACAATAAGCTCCAACCAATAATACAGTATCCCCAAAACCCATCTGTTAAGAGGGATGACTAACTCCCCGCTGCCTCCTCTGCTGTTTTGTACTATCTTTGTTTAACACATAATAAATTTCTTCAACCTGCAAGCATCAAAGGAGCAGGAAAGACAAACACTAGACCATGGTCATCTGGTATAAATCAGCGTAGCTTCAACAAACTGCATCAATTTGCATCAAATTTGCATCTGACCCTAAAGGTAAAAAATCTCAAATTCACTGAAATTTCCTCTATGCTATCTCAGAAGCTTCACTGACGCAGAGGATTTTGCCAATGCATAATGTTAAGTGCAAAGTAAGCCTACCATGGGCCCCCAGAGATGAGTTTAGAGATAGCTTTGCAAAAAAGCCTAACAACTCGAGCGTTGCTGGAATATATTGCACAGTTAGGTCTTTTCTCATTGGCACTGCAAAGGAACAGATTAATATCACCTATCATTAGGTTATTAAYCATAATTCTCTGTCTGCTAAACTATTTCCAGTTTCTACAAGCATCTATGCCCAGGGACATCTCTGCTGGGCGAGACAAGGGAGCCCTGCTCTGCAGGACGAGGTACTTACGGGGCTGCCCTTGGGACCGTCGTCACCTGGGGGACCTTTAGGGCCTGGTGGCCCAGCAGCACCCGAGGGACCCGCTTCACCTTTTTCACCTCTTTCACCTTTAGGACCCTGTAGAGGAAGAGGATGTTTCCATTGCTCAGGGAAATAATCTCATCGTCTCCAAATGTCTTTTAATCAATTCTGAAAAACAACCTCCATTTGTATCTTAAGACATGTGGGCATCGTTTAGCAACCCCCTCCCACCAAGATTTGATTGTGTTCAGGTTGTTAAATCGTGGGTAGCTTATATCTAGCCCCTATAATGTTATATTGTAAAATTCCCATAGCATGGCAGTGTCAGCCCCCTTGGGCCACGAACGAGGTCTCTGCCTGACCCCAGAACCAGGAGACACCTCGCTTAGTCCCATCCACATCCCCGCCTTTCTAAAACCCCTTTAAACTTAGCAAAAACCACTGAAGAACAGCCCTTCTGTAGCAGAAGGCAGAGTATTTACAGTCCACTAAAAGAGTAAGAGTCAACCTGGAGCGGACTTACCGGGAGGCCCACTTCCCCAGGAAGACCCGGCTCGCCGGATTCCCCAGGTTCACCCTAAAGAAGGGAAAAGAGGATGGACATGGTTATGCTGCTCTTGCCATAGGGCTCCATGGCTGCAGTGGAGATTGCTCCCAGCTAGTCCTAAGCTGGAGGGCGGAAGCAAAACCTTAGGAGAAAACAAGCAAAAAGTCCTAAACTTGTGAATTAAGGGCCAAAATATTCTAATTCCAGCTGCTGCACTGTTGCTCATGGCCTAGCACTGACTGACCACAGGCCAGTTTCTACTAATGGGTTGAACATCTTCCCCTCCTCTCAAGCTCATTGTGAGCTATCTCAGCAGCACACCAGGCTGACACCACTTCTCCAAGTTTCCTTCTTTGTGCTCATCAGCAGACACTGCATTATTATTTCCCTTTCTGTGTGGGTGCATTTCCATCTTGCTGGCTCCTAACAACAAAAACAGGGCAACACATACATTCTTAAATGAATCTGTTTGCTTAACTAGAAGAAAACACTATTACAAGCGTCTCAGGAACAGAATTAAATGGGCTTCACGCTGTCTTCCCAATGACTAGTATAGAAAACAACAAGCAGACCTGGCTTATCTTCTTGGACAGGCTTTTCTGCTTCCTCTTGCCTTCACAAATGACCACCAAACACTAATATCTTAATGAAGAATAGCCTCTTATTACARTTCCCTTGAAGGACTCAGTTGAAAGCTTCCTGCTGGCTCAACTCGTGTTTTCCTGGGTGCTTTACCTTCTCTCCTACTGCGCCAGGATTTCCTATTCCCCCAGGAGGACCTTGTGGACCATCTGCTCCTGGTGGTCCAGATGGACCTCTGGGTCCAGGTGGGCCTGGTGGGCCCTGAAAGGAAGGGGAGGCAAACATAAGTCACGTTTTCTGAAGCAATATTTGTATCTGTGGTGGAAATAAAAAGAGGAAAACATCTCACCATTTGCCCAACATCGCCTGTTTCTCCCTTCTCACCAGGTGGTCCAGGCAAGCCCTGTGGAGATGTTGGAAGGAATAACTCAGCTCAAGTGGAACCCTCACTGTCATTACCCAAAGCCCTCCCCTGATGCTGGAAATTACCTGCAAGCCTACTGGGCCGGGGGGACCAGGGAAACCTCGGGGTCCTTCATCACCTTTCTGACCAAAGAGGCCTTGCTGTCCTCTGGGACCCGGCTCTCCATCAGCACCCTACAAGGAAAGGGTCTAACACAGGTTAGTGTGGGCACATGCTACATGCAAAGCCCCATTTCCATTCTGCTTTGGCAGGGCCAGTCACTAAGGGCAATTCTTTACAGCATTTCCCAAGGACAGGATTGCTGCTAACAGGGGACAATACTCACCGCTGGGCCTGGTTGACCGATTGGACCCTGTGGTCCTGTAGGACCTGGTGGACCCTGTCAAGAAACAGAAATGCAGAGCTGTGTTTGGGAGCAGAGCAAATATAAGAATAAAAATCAGCTATAAAATAAGAAGCCCTTCCAGCACGGTCTCCCTTAGACTGGCACAAACTCTCAAAACAGAGGATTGGGAAGACTAGGTCAAGTCTCACTAGACACRCCACCCTCTAAGTTGGACCACTGCCAAGAGCATGACAGCACCGCACTGAAGAACAAATCTAAAGATGTGTCTGAAGAGTCTCACTACAAAAAAAAGTTGTTATTCAGTGTAGAAAAGTGAACAAATAACAGGGAAAAATTAAAAATGTATAGTTTTCTAGTTCCAGCAAATCACACAACGTAAGAACATGCCCTTGCTGGAAAGCAGCTACGTGTCCCACTTACCTGTTCTCCTTTGTCRCCCTTGCTGCCCTTCTGACCAGGTTCTCCAATCTCACCCTGGYGGGATAAAGGTGCACAGTTAGTTCAAATGTCTTGGTGAACAWTTAAGCACCTTGACAACCAAGTAATAGTCTTGCACATCTGGGCCCTGTTCCAAAGATGCCAATTACCATAAGCCTTTCCCAGTAAGTTTTGGAAGAGGCCAGYGATTTGGCCACTGCATGTGTAAGCAAACCCTTATGCATCCCAAATCTTTTCTGAGCTGATGTTAGAAGCAGAAGATGGCCTTTTGCTACCCTTGTTCGCTGTGATGAGTGATACACTCCAGCTAATATTTTCTAAGAATCCTCCTGTCCAGAGGGAACGAAGGAATGAGGAAATGTTGGGGAAGGACAGGAACCTAGGGACAGGCCACCCAGAATAAGCTTATGGAGACACTAACTGTAGTTCAACAAACAGCCCAGCTGACAATGCACATGCAAACAGTCTGATTCTCTCCTAAGTCCAACTCGGCAGATCTAATAGCATTACAAGGACTACAAGACGTCCTCATGTTATGATATGCAGCACATCTGACACGATGGAATGCAAGCAGCAGATCCACATGGTAGGGAAGGATCATGCTGCACGGTTTCTTCCAAGAGAGCGGAACCATGGAGAGACTTTTCTCACCTTGTCTCCATCTTCTCCAGGTGGCCCAACAGGACCTGCTGGCCCTGGGAGACCAACAGGGCCCTGGATGCCATCCCGACCAGCTGGTCCTTGCGGACCTTTCTCACCCTAGAAAGGAAATGGGCAGACAGGTTATATAACACTCTCCTCCCTCTTCCTATCTACCCATTAAATCCCATTAGAATTAACATCAGCTAACGAACCCACATGATAGGATCATGTGCAACAAAGCTAGTTTTCAGCAGATATTTCATGGGTGTCTGTGTTCGTTGTCTCAGCAAGACAAAATTTCTATCTCAGGAGACAAATAAAACACAGATAAAACTAAATGGTGAATGCCTGTATCACGGCTGTAATTTTGCTGCTATAACAACATAATCRTGTTCAGTCGGAGCCCTCTGTCATCTCCCTCCTCCCTCCCTCTCTCACAATAAGGAACAAGACTCCGACTATCTTTTATTCCCACAAGCCAATTCCTACTGATGCCAATCCTGACTGCATGACTGCCTCCTTCCTGGCCATTGCACAACAGATGGAGATTTCTCAGGAGTCCCTGACCTCCCTCCCGAGCCTTCTGGACAACGGAAGACACACTAAGCAAATAAGCCAATCTCTGTTGCCTCCTGCTCAAACCATCTACTCGCTTTCCTCAAACCTGGAGCCTTCAATCAAGTTTTGTTTGTTTATAGAACCGAACAGTGGGTATTTTTTCACTTTCCTAGCACATAATTTAATTGCATCTATGCTCTCCTCTGGAAAAAGAGATGCCACATAAATTGCCTATTCATCTATCCAATAACACATCATATAGACACTCGGCAGTACAGATGTTCATAGAGCTGATTCACCAGGAAATTCTTGCCTCTGGACTAGCTGCCAGCATTTTTAATAAGCCTGCAAATACAGAATACAGAGGTTGATAAACACCTTTAATAACAACAATCAGTCAACCCAAGCGTCCTAGTGTAGTAAGAAATAACTGATGCCAGCACTTGCCCATGCTGCTGCACCTGCAGCTGGGCTCGAGTTTGAACCAGGCAAAGCAAAAGTYGGTGGTATTTCTCTGCAAAACCACTGGGGTGTAAAAGATGCAGAGCCTGCCTCTTTGGGACTGCCATGCCACCGTGTTTTTCAGTCACAAAAATAGTCTCTGGTACCTTCATGTGATGCTTCCCGCACGCGCCTTGGGAGCGAAAGACTTGACAGCCTCCCAGGCTGTCGAACATGCAGGAGAAGGACCATATGGCAGCACTCGGCAGCTACCTGCCCCAATCCTGCTCCAATCGGCCCTTCCTAAGGGTGCTGCTGGGTCACCTGGGACACGGGTGCCACGGGAGCATGCAGTAGTCCCAGCTGGAAACACAGTCCCCTGGCTACCTCCCRTGGGCTCTCAGCCAGGGGTAGAGCACGGATAGGGATTTTATTCATCACCACTTTTATTCAGGGTGGTTGTTCCTTCTGTTGCTTAGCTACAGTCTGGAATGGCTTATTCCACTGTATCCATTAAAAAGTGCTGCTCAGATTTGGCCCCCATGGAAACCATCACGGATGCTGCTTTATCCCATCCTCCTAAGTGCAGACGAGGGCCCAGAGGCCTGTCCTGTGGCTAGTTGTCACAACAAGGTCACAGAGCCTGTCATTTCACCTCTTCAGAGTCCACATACCTTGCTATGGCCTCAAGTCATTTTGGTTCCCGGCCTCATACTTGTTTTTGACAGCAAGGATGTCCCGAGTCAGAGAACATTACCTGCCCTGATGCAGCCAAGATGAGACGATTCTTCTCCACTGGATTCTTTCTCTTTTCCCTTTACCTACCTACCCCACACTCAGCTCCCCAGGCACCTTATTTGACCCACAGCTGGTCATCTCACACCAGTACTTACTGGGGCTCCCTTTTCACCAGCCGGTCCTGGAGGTCCCTGGGGACCAGGGCGTCCTGGAAGTCCTATCGGGCCGGCTGAACCCGCAGGACCTCGCTCACCAGGAGAGCCCTGTTTGGAGAAGGAAGCAGCGTTAATCGGCATACACGGATTTATAGAGCTATGGAAAGAAGGTGACCCTACAGCAGGATGCTGCAAGTGCATTAAGTGTAGAAGTGAGCACGCCATGACTGCCATGTATGGCAGCTGGTACCACCAACCTAATATTTTTAATTACATCTCTGGAATAGCTGAGTTCTTCCTGGGATAGTGCAGGGGGTTCAGTTCCTGGGAACATATTATCAGAGTCTGGGGGAAGAGCGTGAGCCATTTCACAGTTAATGCAGTTGGGAGGTTCAATGATGAATATTTTCTTCCAGGAGGGCTGTACTGTGCAAGCATCTCAAGAGGGAGCAACTTTCAGAAGGAAACAGCTTCCTCATTCTTGGTGTCCCGAATGATCCAGCACTCTCAGCTTGTCACATATGTTCATGGCTGACACCACCAAATGACTGAGCTATTACATACGAGCCTTGTAAAATAAAGCAGTATGCACAGCAAGCAGTGAGATGGTGCAAAGGGAATGGTGGGCAAAGCTCTGAGCTGTGACTAARCCTCACTTCTGGCTTGCCAAGCTTGTAAACGTGTTAGGTGGTGCCTGTGAGGACAAGGTACTTACTGCTGGACCTGGGGGGCCTGGAGGACCTTCGTTGCCTTTCAGTCCCGGAGCACCCTGGAAGGAGGAGATCAAAGTCACTTCTGGAGCTGATGCCTGAGCATCCTTCCACCAGCAAGGCTGGAAGAGCCTTTACTTACAATGGGGCCAGGGAGGCCCCTCTCTCCAGGGAAGCCTCGCAAGCCAGGTGGACCATCCTTTCCCGGGAGACCAGCGGGGCCAGGGTCACCCTGCAATAACAGCGATAAATCCTAAGGATCTGCAGACTCCAGAAGGACTCAACTCTTGATGAGACGTTGTGAAACAGGATCTTTTCCCTGAATCCTCCTCCCCTCTCCACCAGACTTGCAAGGAAGGTGAATTCATTCCTTCCTGCTGGCTCCCCATCCCATAAAGGGAACTTGGGCTCATCCTCATCTCCGTCCTACGCTGCATATTGGACTGCAGTAGCAGTCACCTACCTTGGTCCCTTCCTTTCCAGTGAGACCAGGAAGACCCTGTTCACCAGGGGGACCGGGAGGGCCTGGATGTCCCCGCTCACCCATTGGGCCAGTCTCACCAGTCGGACCCTAAAGAAGCAGAGATCAAGGAGAAGGTGTTGGAGATCAGCAAAGCAAGCAAAGAAAAATGAAGAATTTTAACAGTTTCATCCTTTAAGCTGCAATGGGACAGAAGATGCTTCTTCCCTTAGCTGTCACACATGGTGTCACTGGGAAGCCCATAGGGATGCTTTCTTTAGCATATAAAGGGACACGGTCTTGAAGGTGGTTAAAATGGTACTTAACAACCTAGAGACACCGGGAATCGCTGGAATTCAAGTGCTCCCATAAATGACAGATATTATCACTACAGTCCTTATGCTGAGGATTTTTTATATTGAAAGCTTCCTAAGTATTCTACAATCATGCTATTTCTTCCTCATATTGGGCATAAATAATGGATTAGGCTTGTAGTGCATGGCAATTATTGACTGCCTCTGTGCYGTACATGGGCACTAATGGTGACAAGTGTAACATAAGGCTCTAGGCAGAAGGTTCCCAAGCGGCCCATTCCAGGGAAGGACAAGAGTCCTATGCACAAGGCCGTAACATTTCCACACATTCACGTCTGCTGGGACCATGGCAATAATTCACGTCACACCGCAGGGTGCCACTTCATGTAAGCAGAACRATAAGGCTGTGATCACTCGGCAACCACCCATCACACTAACTATGTACAGCAGAGCCAAATAAAATTGCCACAAAACCTAATTTGCACTTGTGAAGATAGACGGAATCAGGGAATTGCCCCTAATCAGGGAATTTATAAACTGTGGAATTGACACTGCCATTAAAGAGGACAAGTTAATTACTTTTTCATTAAAGAGTGTCCCTCTGCAGCAGTTCAGAAAGGACAACTACCAAGASCCAGTCCTATTTGGTCCAAGGCTCTACCTATAAAACTGAAGCATGARGCTGCAAGACCCTGTTTCAGGGATACGGGTCGTGCAGATGCTCCGGGCTGGGCAATTTGCCATTGCTCCCAGCAATTCATTGTCCCAGGACATTCCCGGGATGCTGCACGGGCAAAGCTCAACCACGGAGCAGCCGCTTCTTACCTGAGGGCCTACGACACCAGGAGGGCCTGGAGGGCCAGTCTTGCCTTGGAAGCCCTGTTAGGAAAAGGGAAAAGACAAAATCAATGACACCTCTCATGAGTAATGAAGCGAGGATCGAGTTCCTGGACTGCTCCTGCTCCAAGGAGGCTACTGACTATGAAAGAATGGGCACCCAACGGCAAAAGAAAGGAGGAATCAGGCAGAAGATGGAAAATCTCTATTAGATATTTGCAGGGAGGTGGAGGGGAAAAGTGATGATCAAAATCCMAGTCTTTCAGCTCCTGCCAGGGCTCTGGGAGCAGCACTCCCTGGGCGGTGGGTGCTTCTGACAGGGGACCAGATCCCTAAGCTCAGCTCAGCTGTTCTGATGGAGCTACCGAAGGACTGGCCACATACATTAAAAAAAGAAAGATTAAAAAATTCCTACACTTCTGAAACCTGCAGAGAACATGGCCATTAAAGTGAGAATGGGCAAGCTGCTTAATGCTGGGCAATTCTTAATAACCCTTCTCCTATTCCCAGTTCTGGTATAATTGCCATTTCATGCTCCTCAGGAGCTCTGAGCCCGGGTGACCATCTTTCATTYTTCACACAGGCAGCACCAACGCCGAGTTCTGCTAAGCAGGCAACTCTGTCAGCTTTGGGTTTTGAGTGAAGTTTTAGTTCCTTCATCAGCATCTGTTGAAAAAATCACTAGCGTGTTTCCCTTTAGATCACCAAACCATGATCAATAATGAAGCCTGCGAACCTGAGACCCATGACACCTTCTATAACAACCTTTAAAGGGTGACAGCAATGAACTATCACCACGACAATTGTTTAGCTCTCCTAAAGCACCCTTCTAAAAGCACATAATTATCATTCTTGCTATACCATGTTGACAGGCTTGAAAAAATGTCCTTTGGGGCTTAAAGGCTAATTTTCTCATTGCCACAGAAGATGATCAGATAAATCCCAAGCCAGTGGAACTGTGCAATGCTAAAAGACAACCCAACACGGTTATAGCTGTCTGAAGATCACAGAAAATATCCCACGGTCAGTGGGGAAATGGTAAAAYATCTGTGTGAAACCAAAGTACAATTTAAATCTTATTTTTTTAGAAAAATATTTCAACTACTATGCTGGACTTAAAAAAAAAAATCCTTTTTTTTTTTAAATCCTTTTTCAATTTTCCTTTTTTTTTTTTTGTGCTTATCTCCTCCCCTTTGGCACATCATAAGGAAAGCGGACAAAAAAAATCCCGTATCTCTTCCCCTTTATCTTAAGCGACTCAGCACTGGCCATTTGCTTTAGAAGTCTGCCTGGGCACTAAAGCTGGTAGCCTCATGGGCAGCCTAAGCTGGAAGTTGGWGCTACCAAAAGGGCCATGCACATCCTTGGAGGAGATGGGTGGAAGGATCTCTGCGAGCTTCATCCAGGCAGAGATGAAGAGAAGCTTGGTTTCTGTAAGCAGTGGCTCAAATACGTAAGTCATCACCAGAATGACTAAAGAAAGCCAGTAGGGAATGGTTTTCTTTGGGAATTCAGACCTCAAATAACGGAGAGTCGTGTTCATATACACCAACACTTGAATGCTCTACTCCAGTGTCAAGCGTTGAAAGCAGAAGCAAGTTAAGACTTTACTGCTTCTCCTAATTTGAGAATTCAAATCCTTCCTAATTTGAATCAGGAGGTGTCCCTAATGCTCTACATAACTCAATGAAGGGAGACTAACTGGTACAAGCAGACTTTGGCAGGTGAGCACTCCTCACCTTTAAGCTAAACCTGACCTGAGAACTGTGTGCTTGAAATACCACGAGCACTGCAGCACAGTCAGCCTTATGGAGCGTAAATAAACACTCGGCGTTGCATTGTGCAGTATTTGCATTGCCTTGCTTAGCAAATGCCAGGCAAGTTAATTAAATTTCTGTGTGATAAGTTGAGGGGAAAAAAACGCACAATACACAAAASCCTTTGTAATGCTCATTTGCTAGGAAGGGCAGTGGAGAAAAATGCAAAGCTGAGTAGAGGAAGCTGTTGGGTTTTTTTTTTTTTCCTGTAAAATAAACAGAAAACAAGCAGGAGTCTATCTGCTAACATGCAGCATGCAGCACTGGGGAGAGCAAATTACCAGCAGTCATAAATGAGCTGGGTTGTGATCAATTGGGGAAAAAGAATTAAAAAAATCCCCCCAAACGCAACACAGAATGATACCAATCACTGCATGCACAAGAACACATGGCACAATGATCACGTTTGCTTAAAGGATGCCCTAAGCAAAAAAAAGGAGCAGAAAACAGATCACCAGAGACGTACAACAGCCGTGTTCTCATACCTTCCACATGCCTCATCATTCTCCTTTGGTGAGAAACATTGATTACATCTGTGTGACAAAATCCTTCACAGTTGACAAAGCCGCAAGCGCGCGACACACAGAGGTCCCTGGCCCAGCCAGGCGCCGCTCCTCGCGGTGCAGCTGCGCTCGGCAAGGGCTTATTGGTAGACAGGGCTTAGCCYCGGCCTTGCAGGGCCACCACGCGCAGCTTTAGCTCAAGGCAGTAGCAACAGCAGGGATGCTCTTCTTGCTGGTGTGCTAAAGCAGCAGCTGATACCTGAGCAGAAAAGCTAGAGCAAAACCATTGCATCCGTGCTCTCGGCCAGGAATTGCTTTCCTTTTTTGCAATAGGTGCTGTTAAAACCAGGCTGCAAGTGTCTTCTGCTGCACAACTGTTGGTGGCGGCCAATGAAGCATGAGGGACAAGGAAAAGCATTTATTTCGCCCGTTGGTAGGTTGCACAGAAAAAGAAAAGGGAGAAGGGAACTGGCCCAACCGAAGCAGTGGTGGCTGTGGAGGAGGGAGCCCTTTCCTAAGGGGAAATCTGCAGGTCTGGAGTTGCATAAGGGGGCAGAGAGCTGTAAAACTCACACATTTCCAAGGGCAGAGTGAGARGGAAACCACAGAATTGGCCGTATCGCACCCAAGAGTGTCTCAGAGYCTCATCTGCAGCAACCCCCTGCACCATGGTGGCCAAGTCTGCAGCATCCAACAGAGCAGGAAGCCCCTGGCCTTGATGCTGGTCACCACCTTCACTATGTCTCTGCTCATGTTTCCTCTGTGCATGATGCCACCGTGACCACCACAGCCCACAAAATGGATGGAGAAAGCTGGTTCAAGGCCATCATGTGAACCATCATTAGACCGACTTGTCCTGCCCACAAAAGGGTTGCTTCCCATAGACCATCCCATGCAGCTGAAGAGACATATGCCTCTTGAGAAAAACAACACGTGGCAACATCTCCTCGGCTGCACAGAACGGTTTAGAGAAACCAACCAGCAGGACAAGACTCAGGACTAATGATCTACCCAAGATCTGGGGCTACTTACAGTTTCTCCTCGCTGTCCGGGGTGACCAGGCAATCCATCCTTTCCAGGAGGACCCTAGAGAAGAGAAACAGGATGAGAAGGACCATGACCATTGGCGTGGTAGTTCAGCTGTGATGAGGAATCACAGCTTGCATCCTTGCATTAATTCCTATCCATCTTACAGTGAAATGGGGGTAGTCAAAACCCTGAAACATACAGCCCTTTCACACATTTCTCTAAAAGGAAGATTAAGATCCAGAGATGGAGAGTTGTCCATGACAGGGAAAGAAATCACTTCAAAAAGGTTTCTAAGGTTTCTGAGGTAACCTAGCCATGTATAATAACTGCAGAGCTAGAAGGGTCACTCTGGTGCGTTGTCCTCCCAAGTACAGASGGAGGAACAAGGAACAGAGCAACCACGAGTGATCCTAGTGATACTGAGTCATTAGGAAATGAACACTTACAATCAGTCACAATTTACTTAGCTATTTAAAATCTGACACTGCTACGTTATTACCAGGATGTCTCAGTATTGCCTTTTACTGGGTACGTCACCACTCATCGGAGAAGTGGCTAAGACTGAGCTGGCACCAACGATCACAGCGGGATGGAAAATACTTCATGCACTTCCTTGCACCTTCTGGAAAGAGTTACTTACAGGGGGGCCTTTTGGTCCCGGAAATCCAGTTGGTCCTTGAGGCCCTGGTGGTCCCTGGATGCAAAACAAGCCAGAAAACACAGTTAAAAAAAGTTTACCCATTTTACTACAAAATATCCCCACTGTCTGAATAGCAGATGAGGTCAGAGATGCAGAAAGTCTGTTTCCTCTCTGGCCCTAAGAACTGTCACTGCAGTGCGAGCCCCAGGGCCATCCCTTGAAGAAATGCCTGGAGAACCAAGAAGCGAGTGGCCATTTGGAGGAAACAGTACAGATGKCAAGCAGGTTTTCGACTCCTCTGTACCTTTCCCTCCCAACACAATGAGAAACAGGTCTTCTCCCATCACCGCTCAAGGTCAAGCACCTGGGAGCTACCAGTGCCCATGTCTCAAGCAGAAATACAAGTGATTTGGGGATTGCTGCTCTCAATAGTGGCTCGAGTGGGACATAATGTCACCCCCCTTGCTGTGGCATCCCAATGTCACCAGCAGCAGGGTACAAAGCCAACCTTAGCCACATCCTGCACAACCAGGGGCTAAAATCGTGAAAATTCCCACTGTGTTTTCACATCCTGGAGAAAGGAGTGAGGGTCCTGGAGGACCCCCAGCCCCAGCATCTGGCCCCTTGCACTGTGACAACCCAACAGGCTTTTAAGTTCAGCTCTAGCCCCATGGGACTTACCCTTTCGCCAGGAGGACCAGGGGGGCCGTCACCACCAGAGTTGCCCTTTTAAGGATAAAAAAAACGGCAACATCACATTAAAAATACATATCACCAATTCCGCTGCTCTGCACAAAGGCTTTAAACGCTAACAACTCTGCACCAGGAGCAGCATCCAGCGGCAGACGAGCGCCTGCTCGTCCCTGCAGCACCGCTTAATAAACACACAGGCAAGATAACGGCAGCAAACGCGTGATACTGCCTCTAGATAACGGCTCCCCCCCGSCCCGAGAGATAAACACCACGACAAATCCGCAGGATTTATCAAGAATTGATGTTGCCACAACGCCCAGACATTGCTCTGTAAAGCAGGCGGTGCCGCGGGGACAACGTTTCATTGCCCAAGTGCCACTTCCAGTGAGCCAAGCGGTTGATGTTCCATCCATCCAATGGTCCAGGGGGTCTCCCGTTTTTCCCCAGAGGAGAAGGGAAACAGAGAGCAAGGAACCAGACAGTCTTGGACCTCAGCGCCTTTTGGGGTGCAGTTCCTCTTCTAATCACTGTCAAAGGCTGCAAACCTCTTACCTTCGGGCCGGGTTTCCCAGTGCTGCCCCTAGGGCCTCTTTCGCCACGTGGACCCTTAAAAAGAGGGAAAAATACAACATTTCAGCCTTTCTTGCTGCCCACAGCACGCTGAGGCCATTTTAAGATATGTATTAGGTAAAAAAGCACTTTGGTGCTGGACAAGCACTGGAGGGTCAGATCTTAACCAGCCAGGGTAGGAATCACATCAATTTTCTTCACCCAAGGGATGACCTCAACAAACTTTCAAAATGCACAGAGAAAAAGAATAACGAGAAAAATTATTGTTACCGTTGGACCGCGCTGCCCCCTTGGACCTGGTTTGCCAGGTGTCCCCTGCAACGAGAAGAAAGACGGGTGAGCTGGCTCGCTTTGCTCTTGCCTCCTCGTTCTTGTATTTGCTTTCAGTTACAACGTCTGGACAGGTCTGGCCCCCGATCCCAACGCCTGGATGAAGTTTCACACCTAAGGAAGGGGTCTCTTACAGCATATCCTTTACCTGAGGCCTTTAAAGCAATTCTAAGACGAGGCCACCAGTGTGGACCATGCAGTTCCATCAGTGAAAAGGCACATATACATTTTTTTTTTAATTAAAATGGAGAAAGCCAGCAAACACACCAAATCCAAACCTCTTCTGCCCTTACACCCCACATCTGCCATCCTTCCTTGCTGATCTTCTCTCCATCCTCCTCCAGCACCCACTCTGCAGGCAGCCAGATCTGCCTTGCTAAATATTTAAGGAGCTGCAGCAGCAGGGCTGCACCCTCAACCTGAGCAATTGCTTTACACAACACAAGCCCATTTAGCCACCCCTCATCTTCGCGGGTCTTACACCATTTTGGGGAGCTCGGCACTGAATAAATCATTTAAGGAGGTGACAGAGCAGCAGGATATAAGAGCTGACAGATGCACTCAGCTTCCTGCAAGGACCAACCGCGATCAGCTCCGATGCAAAGAAAATAGAGACGTCTCAGTCCCAAGCCCAGCCTTGGCTTAGCTCCCGTGAGCATCTACCTAGAAGAGTAATTGCCGAGATCTCACTCCTCCAAAACATTGTTTTGGCTAAARTCAAATTATCAAAAAGAAAAATACACCCAAAAAATCCCCACACACCAAAAACCAGTGGCTTTCCCTTTSTTCCTTTGCACCAAGAGTCCGCTGWTTTTTACCAATCCCCCTGTTAAGAAGGGAAAAGACTCATTTTCCTTCTAAGGCACAAAGAAGCTTATGATTTTCCTTGCCATTTTCTGCCCCAAATCCATCAGCTCACAATCCTGCCTTCTCCTATTTGGCACTCATTAAGCAGGCGAATATAAAACAGGAGCTGGAAAACTTTAGAATCAACTACTTTTTTTTTTCCCCAGCTACTAAAATTAGTCTTGCTGAATCCTCCTGGTTCCGCATCTCCATTTAACAAACCTTGCTGGCATACTTCTTAAAATTAATTACATGAACCATTATGAAGTGTCCTGTCTGGTTTTCCTTAATCTCRGAGAGGCCGAATGCGGATGAGGGGTATAGAGGAGCGCAGCCTGCCTGCAGGTAGCCCCATGCAATCCTGTCCTGCTTTTGCAATTCTATTTTTAAGCAAACTTTTACCYTGCTTATTGCTATCATTAATCATGCATACAGCACGGTGTACCGCTGCTAAGAATTTATATGGCGCTGTAAACGCACACAGGCCTGTATTTTTCAAAGAGGGATATCGAAGGAAAGGCATCTAAATTCAGATTATTTCCTAGGTACCCAAATAAATGGCCTGGATTTCAGTCGCTCCATGCACCCTCCGGGCACTGTCAGACAAGCAGGGCAGGAAGATCTATTATTCTGTGCTAATAGCAGAGGCTTATTAGCTCTAAAAATAAAACCACCTATTCAAGTATTGATTCTCTGAGAAGGTTCTGAAAGCAGCCAGGGGAGCTAGAGCTCACCTGTGGCCATTCCTGCTTCTGCAAAGGGGGGCAACAAATTCCAGAGGCAAATCCATAGGGATGTGGGAGGCCAGCGGTCCCATGCACCCTGCTCCATCCTCAGCTCCACAAGGCTCCAGCAGAGCTCAAATCCCTCCCCAAGCACCGAGCCTTGAGAGCTGCTGCCTCTGCTCCTGCTGCCCTTGTTGTCCATCTATTTTTTGAAGAAAAGTCAACCTGGGAAGTCTTTTTGTGTTGCTGAGCTAATGAGCTGGAAAGCTTATTGCAATTCCTAGATGACGACAATCAYAAGAGAAGCTGGTGATTGATGCTACTGGGGGCCCATCAATAACCAGGTTGGATGCTCTAATAGTAACACCTTGCGAAGAAAAAGACAAACAAACGATTTTGGGATGTTTTAGCTGCAAATTGGGTTACCCTGCATTGCATGGGAGAAGCAAATCTTAGGAACACTCTTTCTTCACTATATGTAGACATGCTCATAAAATAGCAAATTTACTGCTCTCAGGAGAGGCAGAGTGTAATTTGTCAAGTCTAACTCAGCGAGGGCTAAAGGTAAATTTAAGCTGATAGTCTCCGTTTCATCTGGTGTGGGGTGATCCTAGCTCTGTCTCACTCTGCATATAATAGCTCTTCACTTATTTTGAATTGGATACCTGGGAGAGAGGAAAAGGAAAAAAAAAAAAGAGACACTGAAAGAGTAAGTTTGCATTTTTGCTACTTCTAAAGGCTTCTCAGGCTGGACCCCGGTTCAGATTTGGGGATTTGCAGGTGAAGGTGCTCTCCCCATCCTGTGCACAGGGGCACGGACCAACACAGCAGCACAAGCTGCACAACCATGTGTAAATCAGCACAAACGGACCCAACTCGAGACACAGTATTTAAAATGATGGTAAAACAAACCAACATGGCAAACCTTTGCAATGCAAAGGCTGATGCTTTGCTGCTCCTTAGCTTTGGGGTCTCGCCAGCTTGYGCCCCTTCCCAAAGGGCACAGACCTCAAAGCCATCCAGCTCCAGGGCTTCCTGCCCACCAGCTGGATGAGCCACCTGTAATTCCAGGGCTACCATCTCCAGCAGGGATGGCGAGCGGGAGCTGCTGGGTTTGCAGCWCCCAAGGAGATGGAATTACTCGGTGGAAGCAGCAGCAGCAGGGGTGATTCCACTGAGAGATAAACTGAATTTCAGCAGCACAATATTAATGCAGTGCCAAGTGATTTATATTTTTCACGCTCCTATCAAGCACGTCTGTTAAAAGTCATTTGTATTTAAATGAGAATAAAAAGGAAACTAATTCTACCCACTCTCCGCACACACACAGCTTTTTTGTTTCCTCCCCTATGACATGAGCTGGTGCAAATTATGACTTAATATTTGTGCTCTGAACTGCCTGCCTCCAGATTTCCTTCCACAAAATAAAACACAGTAGATTGGGACAATCCTGTGCCACCTCCATTGCTGCTCTGGTACCGAGCTGTGCATGGGTGCATATGTATAGAGATGGATGTTTTCACCTATGCATTAGGCAACTTAAGTTACGTCAGAGATGGCTGCTTTTGAAAAGATTCACCCCTCTAATTTAATGTTAATTAAAAAGCTCTTCTTGTCCCAAGYACCGTCTGACAGCAAGGGAGGGATTCAGGTCGAGAGCTTAAGGGGAAAATATCCAGTGCTTAATTGGAAAGCTGCAGCCCACGGAGCAGCCTGTGCTGTTGCTGGCATCCACCTGAGCTACGGCCCCGGATTCCTGCTGGGTTTTGGTAGGGTTCAGAGTGACCACCTTGCTTTTCAGCTGAAATTCATCCACCAAACAGCACTTACCCGTGCACCCTTCTCTCCGTTGGCTCCTGGAAATCCTGGGAACCCGATCGAACCCTTGGGGAAACAGAAAAAGAGAGGGAAGGGGGTCAAGCAGCGGGAATGACCGKCACGGCCCTCCACGCTCGCCTCGGATGACCCCCATCCAAACCCTGCTGACGTCCCCAGTCCCAGCGTGGCTTTCTTTAAAAACATTCCTCTGCTAAAAACAAAACCAAAGACAGTCCTGAAATGACCTCAGAAACGAACCTTCATCCAAAAATAACAACAATAAAAAGAAAAAAATCCGTGCCTCATTAGTGGCCACTGCGAAGGCCCAAGCTCRCAATTGTATCAGCTGCCTGAAGAATAGGAAAGGTTTTGTTTTTAGCTCCTAAATCACTTATTTTGGTCCTGGAAATTTAACTMCTGGCTTTTCCTTTCTGATTTAAATGCCTAGGGAAGAATAGCTGCTGCTGCTGCTGCTTTTAAAATTTGAATCTGCTAAAGCAATGCAGAAAAAAAGAAGATATAAAATGCAAATTAAAAAATAAAACATCAACATCACAACCAGGAAACAAGCTTTCACAGTTAATTATGTCTCCAGTGTTAAGCAAGCCTGTTTTTTCAAGCAATGAACATGAATAATGAAACATGATTCTTAAAAAAAAAGATTAACAAAAGCATAAGTTCCCAAAGCCCCCAGGGCGTGTGAGAGCCAGGCTGCAGCTCGAGTCTACGTAGAGGAATTCTCGCTTTTAATTTAAAAAGAACATCTGAAAATAGCCCAAATGAAGGTGGGCGTGTAGAGAAGGTACAAAGGATGTTTGCAAAGCTGAAAATGGCAATTTTATTTTTATACTCAGGGAGCCCCCGATTCATCAGCCATTCTCCTTGGTAATTAGTAGCCGAGAGCTGGGAGGATGCGGAGCGTGGCAGAGGGACCAGCATCACGACGAGCAGCACGGAGCCCTTCACACGCACTGCAGATCGGCCCACAGGCTGCATGCCTTGTCCTCAGCCCCTTCCAAATCCGCTCTGGAAGCAATGTGGCCATTCCCATGCTAAGGATGAGGGTTATTTTTACCCGGTACCGAGTATGAAATACTAGGAATGCCGCACACCCAAGAGCTCCGGAAGGGAGGAGGGTGAAGGCTTCAATTCCCATCGCCTTGGATTTTATGCAGTAAATTGTGCCCCTGCAAAGTGACATGGTGATGGCAAAGAGGAGGAGAAGGAGCTGCCCCTGTCCTCCTCCTGCAAAACACACCCCTCTGATTTTGGCTTGAAGAGCCTGAAATGGATAATGCCTAAAAGCAGCTGCCATCCCACGTTACCCCCATTAGTTGAATCCCAGCCCTCTGCACGATGCACGACCAGGGATCCAATGGTCCTGTCTGCACCTCACCTCTCTGGGGGGATACACGTTGCAGTTACCTTTGGTCCTTGTCTTCCAGGGTACCCTGGTAATCCTGGAACGCCAAGTTTTCCCTGGAACGCAGATAAAAGCACGTTAGCAAAGGAAAAGGTGCAAGTTTGTACCARGAGAAAGGGAAGATGCCGGATGCTGAGAGCAGGGCAGGTATCACATGGTTGAAATCAAGCTGATGTCCATCACACGGCTATGTATTTTTGCCATCTTTTTTTTTCTCCACTTGATGCTCATAAAAATTAAACTGGAATCCCCAAAATTTTCTATTTCTTTCCCCTTGGTCTTTTATTTTCAAGACAGACCATACAAGCAGGTAACCTTGGAGAGACCAATGCCTGGATACACTGAGTCACCCCACTGCAGTGCAACATCCCCTCGGGTCCTCTTATCTGAACTGGTCACATCAGCCTTCACACAGAGCACCCCCAGCTCCATTTCTGCCCTAAACTTGATCTCCAGCTTCTTCCCACACACCCAATACTGTCCAAGAAGAAACAGGTTTTGCTGTAAATCAGGACTGGGTTACTCTATCCTAAAGACTCACCTTTTCTCCAGCAGGACCAAGAGGACCGGGATCTCCATTGGGACCAGAGCGACCTTTGGGGCCTTCAGGACCATCCTCACCTCTGGGGCCAGGAGGACCAATTTCACCCTGAGAATCGTGAGACAGGTACCAATGAAGAAGGCTCTACCCTCAGCTATCCCATCTACAGACATCTCCACCAAAACAGCCTTCCTTGGCTGTTTCCAGCTTCCCAAACCGCAGGTTTAACGGCAAGCAAGTCCCAGGACTTGTGTAACTGAGGGCTGAGAAATAGAGGGCTCCATCCTTTGTGCTGAAMATCATTAAGAAATCTGAGAGTGGCCAGGATTGAGCTATTAACATGAATTGTTATGACGCTGCGGGCTGCAGAACACAAAACATCAGTTGTCACCTTGTCRTGCGGGCTATGGAGAGATGCTTCTCCACTGCGAACACGGGCAGCCTCCTCGCTCCCAGGATGCTGGACGGCCTCAGATTTATCTGCRAGGCCCTCAAGTACCCCTTGTCCTTTCACAGCTCAGCACGTTTAGCATCATAAAACACAAAGAGCTTGTCGGTGGGAAGCAGGAGCCGGAGCTGCCTTGGAAACTGCTCCTGCCCATCTGCACTTGGCAAGGACGAAAGGTGCCTCCCTGCAATGCTGCTCCTGGTCACTGCAGCCCCATGTCCCCCTTGGAAAAGATAGGGAATTGGGGYGCTTTCCCAGGTCAGCTTAGGCCAGCTCCAAAGGCACGTGGCTGCATCRAAGTGTTATTTTGGTGTGCTGGTGGTCTGCTTGTGCCAATGGCTTTGAAAGCTTCTGAGTGCCCTACTGATAGGGATGAGGCTGCTATAAAGCTGCAGCCCTTGCAGCTTTCTTAGCATTGCTCGAGGTGCTGGCATCTTTACACTGGGCACTGATGGGACAGAAGCACATTATATTTTGCAAATAGAGACCTACCAGACCCTAGGTGTAATATGATGGGGAAAGGAGACGCTGGAAATAAATAAATGATTTTTAGCAGCAAAATAGGGCCTTTTATTATTACTCAGATTTATTTTACCTTCAAAGCAGGACTAGAAAATTTAGGGATGACTTTTGCGTTATGTGAACACAAACCTCCTGCTCCTAGAGCTTGAACACGACAGAAGGATTTGGAAAAGAATCTAACTTGCTATTATCCCTGGTCACTTTTCCCAATGAAATGCAAGAGACTGAAAGCAAGGACCGTGCAAGCTGCAGGATCCTGCTCCTGTTGACTCCTAGGACTGTGCAAAGGAATTCCATTTGGATGGGTCTCTGGGTTGCAGAAACCAGGATGTGCCTCATTTATTTTCCTRTCCTCACAGGGAACCACACTGCACCACAAAGAACCTTACCCGGTCTCCCTTGATGCCCATATCACCTTTGAAGCCAGGGAAACCATCTTCACCCTATATAAAAAAGAAAGAGAGAAAAGAGAAAAGTTGCATAGATTAAGGGTTAAAAAAAAAAAAAAAAAAGCTTCTGTCTTTGGCATACCTGAGCAGGAATGAGAAGGTGCACATATACTCCAAGGAGGGAATAACGTCCTCGTGCTGAACAGCCCAGGCAGGCTGCACAGCTGAGGTCCCAGAGGGATCCCAAGCATCTATTCCCYCACATCCCGCACTGGCTGCGAGTCCAGATCACAAATCTGGCTCCATGTGAATAACGTCGCCTTGCCAGGATTGGGAACCAATTATTTCTGAAGCACAACTGGCTTTATTTTCACGGAGAATGTTTTACACCGTGCTCCCAGGCAACCTCTAGGATAGTGGCAATATTTCTTTCAGCCAAGAAGCTTTAATTGCAGAGCTCAAATCAATAATGTATTTCATCCTAGAGCAAATCCCTCGTAGGCGATGAGGACACAGTTCCCAGAAACACCTTTGGAGTCTGGGAGGCCTCTGCCAGGATTCCCTAGCTAAAACTGCCAGCTCTGCTGCCAAATTGTTCAGAGGCAAGAACGAAAGAATATGGATTTCTTTAGGACTGGAACAGAGCAAGAGTTTTCTCCCTCTCCCACTCTTCTGCTAGGAAAAAGAAAAACACTGCATCATTGATATATGTACTTATAGACTCGACTTTCTTACTGACTTAGATTTCACAAGCTGCTCTATTGACTGGGCTGCATATTCTGTACGCTGGACTTCCCAGGTCTAAATCTGCTTGCTCTTCTCCAGCTGTAACTCACCCTGCACAGCCTCCATCTCCATGGAACCATGCCCAGAACATTAAATCTGCAAATTCTGCCAGGAGGAAATCGCCACAAAGCTGGACTCTGAGCTAGGAGCTACGGGGGCCTCAGCAAGCAGACCCAAACCCGAGCAGGTCCCCAAGACTCAATTAGTGACAGGCTGGAGCCAAGACGTTCTGCAGAACATCCCGGCAGGCATCCATCCTGCACCCACTCCAAACAATAAACGGAGGTGACCAGACCCTGGGACCCTCAGCCCGAGGGCTCATTTCAATGAGAAAGCTTCTCTGGAGGGCATGCTGCAGGACCAGCCTGCAAAAATGCTCACAGTTCTTACAAAAAATGTATAGCATTTGAATAGCCAAGTGTATAGCATTAACTTACCTTTTCACCTTTGGTACCTTTCAATCCACGAACACCATCTGCTCCCTTGCAGGAGATAAAAAGACATGTTACAAGGGCAGAAGAAAGCTTAAGATTTAAGAACCATTGATTTCTGCTTCCTGCCACGTTGCCAATGACATATGCACAAGTTTTGCCTCTAAAGGTATCGCTGATCGAACATCAGCTGCTCATTGCTGGCTTTAAGCTTCTCAGTGAATGAGAGATACACAAAAACTTCTGCTGACTTGATAGGACAGGTTCCTGCAACCAAATTTCCAGGCATAAAACCCAGGATTAAACGTATGCTTTCTGCATGCACTTTCTAGAAGTACTTCCATAAATGCCTCGCCTGCACGTTGAGCTCATTTGAGTTTTAACAGAAAACCAGCCTGGGTGCAGACTCCGCTTGGGAAGCGGATCCATCCAGCACCCTGCAGCACGAATCCCAGGCTTTCCGTGCTGATCTGCAGTGATGAGCAACGYTGCTACAGCGCCTACAAACGTTAAACCTGGCTCCTTTTAGCACAGATCTCACTTCTACGCATGCACAGGTTTTGCATATCTATCTATTTTTATGACTTCCACTGTCTGGAGAACCTGGAAGCTCCTCGGGTCAACTGAMAAACCTACAGTCGAGCTAAGGTTGAAGCTGGGCTGGGAAGCTCTGCACAAGAGCAAAGCTGTCCCTTATTGATGCAGCACGACAACTAATTGCATTAATGCAGGTCACTCTCCATCTCCTCAACTGCTGGTTCTCCAGTGAATGAAGAGGAAATTTGTACTTCCAATTCTAACACCTTTTTCCCCTCCTTTGCCATGTCAAGAAAAAAAGTAAAACTAAAAGTACACCAACAATTTTTGCAGCAGGACAGGACTGTGGTAAGCAAGGCAAGATCGAAAAATTATTTATAGCTTCAAGTCCAAAACAGACATTTTTCTCAGAACTGGAGATTTGTTCACTTACTAGCGAACCGCTTGTAGGAAACAAAATATTTTTTTTGTAAGCACTATGGATTTGGTGCATGACACACTTTCTGCAGCTCACTATAATGTGGAACAGTTCCACTTCATGGTAAACACAACGAGAGACCATTCCCAGTGGGCCACTGCATCTCGATCTGCAGCATTGCAAGAAACGAGCTGAAAGCTTGCCTTGGCTAAACACACCTAGCTGAAATTTTGAAGGCAGAACAGCAAATGGGGTATTGCTATTGAAAAAACAGGCAGGGGATTTAAGAGGGCTTAATTTCACCTGCAGACCTCAGGCTGTGTTTGCATCCACCAGCACAGGTCCCTGCAGATTCCGCAGGGCCTTTGGGATGCAGAATGCAACTGCAGCTGAACTAATAYATCCTGACATAGCATAAGAGCCCTAACAGAGTGGGGGAAAAAAATCCCCTGTTTTCTTATCAGTGTGCAAGCAGTGCAGGCAGCACAGCAAGCCGGGGAGGAGGAATTCAATCTAGTGAGAAAACCCATTGCTGAGACGCACAGGCTTCGTCTGACAAGAGTTTGGATCAGGAGCATGAAAAGCTTGCTTTGTTTTCATAATAGCCTATTCTGTTTCATTAACAGGCTTGTTAAAGTCTCCACATTCTGGCTGAGATTTAGTTTGGTTGTTAACTGAAAACAATTGGAAGGGGACTGAGCCATACTCACCGAGAATTAAGAGAGAAATCTCTCCAAAGGGCTGAATAAGGCTACAAGGTGCTACAAGGTCTTTTTTTTCAGGTAAAACCCTCCAGATTTATCATGAGCCTTGCAGTTGCTTTCAGACATCACCAGCATGTCCATGAGTTTCCCCACAACTCGCTCCTATGTGGGTCCCCCTCCTGTCACCCTCTCATCACTGCTACAGCCCCAGAACCAGATCATGCAACATCCTGGTCACCAAAGCACCTCGGTGGGATCCTGCTTCAGGTTTGCTCAAAAAGACCTGGCAGATCCTGTGCATCTCCAGTACAAGCTGGAGGAATCAAGCAAGAGAGCATCTCTACTTCCTTCTTACCTTGACTCCGCGTGGTCCTGGGTATCCTATGGGGCCCTGAGGACCTGGTGGACCCTGTGGTTAAAAACAGCAAAAAGAAAAGCGCATTAAATCAATGTGAAGGTGCAGGACTAAAGAGAACGTGTGGGGAACAARCAGCCCAGTCATCTGCTGCTTCAAGCCAGACAGGAACGGCAACAACCACCTGAAAAGGTGTCAGAACAATACAGGAACGTTGCGTATGTGCAGCTCCTCAAGGATCCATACGGCAGGAAAGGAGGAAGAGACAAGAGAGCCTAACAACAGAGCGGCAACTTGCTACAAAGGGGATTCATATATGAGACCAAAGACTTGTGTTTGGATTTGAGAGAAAAAAAGGCAAAAAGACAAAAAGAATTATGGTTTCACACTAACACAGTAGCTCTCCTTAGGTGCTATTGAAGGGCTTATGGTAGTGACCACAAACAGGATGAGGGACAAGCCTCTGGGTGACGTCCTCTGGCCTCACTTACACAGAGAGGAGTTGCTTTAGAATCTCCTTTCTAGCCCCAAAAGTTATGAATCATTATGGGCACTAAYAGTGCTGGATGCAGCGCCAGGTACCTGCCCGGTCCCCTCGCTGCCACCCCAACCTGGAGACCCTGCAGATCAACCACCTTCCCTATCGCATTCGGCTCGGTTTTATCTTGCCCCATCAGCAGACTAAGCAAATGCTCTCCCACTTCCTTCAGAAGGAGCTGGACAATTTTTTCCAGCCTGAGCCGCAGGATCCCGAGCTCTGGAGCTTCTCCGCAGCCTCAGACCTCACACTGGTGTCAACTGGAACAAGTCATAACCGCTCGGGCAATAACTCATGGAGAAAGTTACGGCCGGGATCTGGACTTTTACCCCGACACCTGCCGTCTCGCCGACAGTTGCTAAATGTCTCCAACCCCGGCAGCGTCGGCACCGCCGCTTAGTGGCTTTTAATATTCTGCAGCCGGGAGCATTGAGATTCCTGGCCTTGCGTGATGCCAGCCGGACAAATGGCCCCAATCACGGCCGTCATTTCCTGCACGGTACCCAGGCGAGGCGCGGGGCAGCTTCAATCAAAGCGGCCTGCGCTCTGATAAAAAGACTTTTTGACAAATGCAATGTTTTTCCACGGAACGGGCCGCAGCGGGAATGCAGATGGTAAATCTCCCAGACAGACTGACGGCCGTATAATTCAAGGACTCTAGCCTCGAGCAATATTCTCAAATATATTGCTAAAGAGGGACTTTGAGGGGGCTGGGGGAGGAAAAGAAAGACCACAAATACAAAAAGAGGCATTTTCTGCGTTCCCCTGAGCAATGAAGGATTTTTATTTGTGTCTGATTAAGAGAAGGTTTTCCTTCATGGCTTCGGTCTTCACGTCCACTGAGCTACTCAGTGCTGCTTGCCAGGAGAGCAGGCAGAAGCAATGATGTTTTGCTGGATTTCTGGGGAAACTGCTGCATTATTGCAAAAATTACAGCTGYCCCCTCACTCCTCCTGTGACCAAAGCACCAAAGAGAAAACTCTCTAGCACAATCATTGGAAACAGCTCAGGATTAAACAGTTAGCAAAGATCTGATGGCTAAACAAGCCGCCAGTCTTATAACACCCACCAGTCTTACAATATCCAGGTGGCATCTCCTTGGTTCTCACAAACACTGAAACAACATCCTATTATCTGCATATTTCCTTCTCTACCTTGAAAAACTAATTGAGGAAAGAATAGCCAAAAAAAAAAAAAAAAGTCGTAACAGAAAAATCTCTTTCATTAATACAGGCAGCAGCTAATAACAAATGCCCTTAATGCAGACACATTCTCTCTCCTCAACACCGACTGCAGCACTTTGATGCCTCTGTGGCAATGAACGTACCTTCGATTTCAAGGCCAATGTCAAATTCTTAATTCATATTTTGTGACACGTCATGAGTAATCAGGAGCTTGTTGACACTTACCTGACTGCCCTTCTCTCCAGGGGGACCTTCCTTGCCAGGATGACCCTATTAATTAGAGACAAAGAGAAGAGGGAAATGGGTTTATTGTGTGGCTAGTGCTTCCAAAAGCAGCAAGCTCAATCAGCCAGCTATGATTTATTTGCAAGAGAACAGCTACTCTCCAGGAAGCTCTTACTGGTACAAATAGTCCCAGTGAAGCCAGCCTGCATGAGGAAGCTTTCACCCCAAGAGCAGACTCTGCTTTGGCTCTTGGTGGTGTTCTACTTGGTTATTCCACACTTTCTTATTCTTTACTACCTTTCAACAGAGAAGCACAAACCTCTTTGCAAATATTAATTCATGAATTAGAACACCTCAGCAAGTTCCGCAGTGAGCAGCATGTCAATTTTGCAGATGGGAACCCAAGATAAAATTCACACCTTGTGTTAGCAAACTTGTGAAGGTCACAAGATGCCCAGGCTGGTCAGAGCCCTCATTAACTTCCTAATTCCTAGAGGCAGTTGTGAGATCTCATGACAAAAGCTCCGTTAACCCGTGCCTGGCTTGCATGCCGCCTGGGCGCCTGCCAGCATTCCTCTTGGGATTTGATGCCGAATAACGTCCTAGAGTTTCCAACACATTCTTATCCGCAGCTTTGGGAAGCCTGCTGTTGGGATTTCAAGCTGTAGAAAATGAAGGTGCGAGTTGCTTCAGATGTAGCTGGGAGGATTAGTGAGAAATTGTGGAAACCCATGGAAGTGGTCTTCAATGTCGATCTTCCCGCTATAGGAATCACGGCTTTTGGGGTGGTAATGTTTGTACAAAGGCATTAAACCTCAGCTAAGGCACTCATGCCAACAAGCTAACCTCAGCTAACGCACACTAATGGTCCCCCCACCTTTTTCTTTTTAAAGAGGATAAAAGAGCATCTAGGTACTCTACAGCCATTGAGAACTTCTGTGCCCAAGAGTTTCTTTATGTATGAACTCTCCTCAACACACAAATGATGTTCTAGCAGCCAAGCAAGTAAATTCATAGCTTATTTTTCATGATCTGTCTTTATAAAAGGAAGGTCAGACAGCCAAATTTCATAAAGCAGGTCTGGTTTAAAAGAAGGAAAGTGACAACTGTCATTTGTGCACCTTCAAAAGGGATGAGAAATGGTGAGCTGAATTCACCCTACAGTTCCTGCGAATCCAAATGGCATCAACAGCATCAGTGCACAAAACAGGCCATGTAACCATGTGGTGACCAGTGACAAAGCCGCTGTGTCCGTGCACACCTATCTGCTTAACTTGCAGGTCAATCATAACCTTCAGCCTGCATAAGAACGGACCTGGCATCTTCTCCAATTGCCCTACCCTGGCGGCTGATGTAAGAATTCACACTGAAAGCAACAGCCTTGAAGATGCTTTAGCTGATCCGTCGACTCCACTAATCGTTTTATGAATGACCTGAACACCCACTATAGGAATTGTAATCCCAGACTATTCTACATTTGTCACTCAAAATTAGGTGTCTCAGATAGACTCAGGAAATTTTCAAGACCAACTTCCAGGGCAAGGAGGAAACGATGTTTAACGCAGGCTTAGGAGGAAGAGCAGGAATACAACACGTGCATGCAGTTTTGACCTGTTCTCATCACCGCTGCGCAGCCGTGCCCAGAGCCCCTTAGCGAGCGCAGCGCGTTAGGGCTGCGAACGGGCACAGCCAGGAGAGACCTCGGTGAGCACCCAACCTACGTAAAACAGAGAGAGAAACAGAGAGAGGGAAAGAGAGAGCCAAGGAGAGGATAAGAAGAACCTGACGGGCATGCAGAGCTAAGCTTGGGGTTGAGTGAAGGCTTCTCAAGTGCAAAGCCTTCAACAGAGTCAAAATGTGGGCAGATTCTGCTGCTCTGAGCTTGGCAGCTCCAGCAGCCTGCAGGGTGCCCAATGGTCACGGCAAGCAGGGACCAGGCTACTCACCGGAGGACCATCAGCACCAGGCATGCCAGGAAGACCAGGTTTGCCCAGCGGCCCCTGCAAGCAAACAGAAAATCAATCATAGMAGTAGTGAGGGTGCTCAGAGCATCGGAGGGAGGGGATGGCACAGTGTTCTTGCTTTCCCTGGTCAGGACGCTGCACTGAGCTGGGTCTTAGGGAAAAGCTGCAGTGACTTGTAGGGAACCTGATGATTTGGGGGGCAGAGTCATTCTAGCAGCTGGGATGCTGCATGGTTAGTGCCAGGACCTCGCTGAGACAGACACAAAAGAGCCATGGGAGCTCAATAAGGAAAGTCTGGGCATGAGGCTGCAGAAGCCAGTGGATCCCAAGGCTGGGAGGCACCGCACCGTGCACTTGTGTAAGTGCAAGTTGGAGCACACCAAAGCACGGGGCTCGCTGGACCAAAAAGTTCCTTGGTGCCAAATGCCAGGAAGATTAACCGGCAAAGGAAGCAAAATTAGCAGAGYGGAGCTGCCCTCCATTAACTGTACCTTGCTGCTTTAAGGCTGTTAAGTGATTAGCCTTTTAATTAAGCAAATCCCTGATTTCTCACACTGCCGCCACTGCTGCAAGCGTGTGAGTCAGCAGTGCAATCAGAGAGCCCGTGATCTGCCCAAATTGCTGTTGCACTCAGCCGGCCCTGCTCCTGGGGAGCGGCGGATCGATAATGTCATTACACCGCACGCTGCCAGTGCAAGCAGGGAATTGTCCTCGTACACATGTTGGTACACACGATATATCCCCAGTCAATGGGAGCTGCACAAACACCCTTGGAGAACTGCTGCTCTGCTGGCTCAGCAGGCCAAAATGCCACAAAAAACATGGAAACGGCAATGGAAAATCCGTGGGAGCTGGGAGGAGGCCGAGCGATGCGAATCCGCAGGCTCTGCCCATTACCATCCTCTTCAGACTTACAGGCATTCAGCCCACAGAACGAGACAATTTTCAGTCCTCCCCGCATGTTTTACTGTGGGCTGCCTTCAAAATGTTTCTCTTAAAATGGGAAATGAATGCAAATATTATGAATTAGAGGTAAACTGTGTTTTCTCGTCTCTCATCTGTCTGGAATGAGGCACATTAGACTTTCATAGACACGGCTGCAAACAGATGTTGCATATGGGGCAAAGGAGCAGCCGAAGGAGCAAATGCATTTTAATGGCAACAGTTGTTTTAAGTCAGAGCTGCAGCATTTTAACGTACTTTCTCTCCTGGGGGACCGATTGGGCCTTGTGGACCTGGAAGACCCTGCGAACAGAAAAAAATAAGGTCATTAAGTAACAAGTTCTTCATTCCAAATGCATTTTGGCAGGGCCTCAGCTAAACATCATTCTAGTGCTTGCAATGGCTTGGGATTTCCCCAGCTCCATCCATTCATTCTCAAAATGTCTTCAGAGAGAAGATAAAATTTAATTTCTGTATGGCATGGAAGGCCTGGAAAGCAACACTTGTTAGCAGTGTGTAGTCAGGTTTGTCTCCAAGATGGGGAATGGAGACAGCCTGTGGAACAAGACTTGCTCAGGGTCCTGCAGAAGGCTCACAAGTGATATATAGACATCTGTATTACCCAAAAAGCTCAAAAACAACCAGATTGTTGGATGCTAAAAGTTAGACATGAGCCACTGGATGGGACTCAGTACATGGACTGGGATGTTGCATTGGATTATGGCAGCAAGAGCCAGGTGAGAATCAGACAGATCTAAAACCGGGCTTGATTTCATGCATAAAGCATGTGAGCTCTCGAGCCAGTTGCACATAATCCAGCCAGTTCCTGGCGAACCTCCTTACTGCTGCTCCCTTCTCCACGGCGGAGCCAAGTTTGTTCAAAACGAACACCCAATTCCCTTTCCCATCCAGGGGAGAAGAGTTTCCACCTTACCTGAGCACCTGGATTACCCTGTTGTCCTGGAGGACCCGGTTCACCTTGAGGACCCTGTCAGAAAACAAGAGGAGAGCTGAAAGCTGGAAGCCCTAGAGCGGGGATGGTGCCAACACCCTCCTTGGGCATCAGCACGTGGCTCAGAAAGGAGCCYGTCCTGCTTCCCAACCCCTCCTGATGCCCTGTCTACGGGCAGCACCATCAACCCAGTGCTCCTGCAAAGGGCAAGCAACTTTCTGACTCCCCCACACAGCAGTGTAAGGAAAGAGTGAAGTTTTTTTGAAGTTATAGTGAAGTTATTTCTGCTCACACTCGCTCCTACACATGGACACGCAGCTCGAAAGAGCAGAGCGGGGCTTAAGCACTACCTGGCTCTGCACTGGCTCCTCTGCAGGGAGCCCATTTCTTCCTAGTAGCACAAAGCAGGAGGAATATAAAGGTTTTTTTCCCCCCCACTTAAACTACTATATTTTGGTACTCATTAAAACAACACACATCCTGATGACAATGTTTGATCTTCACGGGGAAATAATGTGCACTTCCATCCGAAATTACAATAAATTAACATTCATTTGCAGCCGGAAGATACTCTCCATGGCTTTCACAGGCGCTGATATGAATCTAGACTTAAAAGCAATTAGCAAATCTAATTTAGATTCTACATTTCAGACACTCTCTCTATATTATCTGGACTGCCTGTAAAATTAGCAGTGCAAACTTACCACATTCCCCTTGGGACCGGTTTGTCCATCCATACCAGCCACACCCTGGGCAAGGATTTAAGAAGTAGCATTACAAAAATATGTGACTATTTTGCAGTACAATAGCAGGCAAATTGCAATAAAAACAGCAAAACATCAGGAGGCGCTTTGGACGGAATGGAAACGGAACAATTTTCTCAAGGTGCTCGGTAAAGCAGCCAGCTCCAGGAATCCAATGCAGGTTTTATGCCTTAAAAAAAGTCATTTTCGAGTTTTCCCCACTGGTTTAACCTGCCTGCAAAGAAGAATGAGCACCAGATTGTGCAAATCCTGGCTAAGCACAGCAGCCTGATTGCTTCCGACAGCAAGCAGGCTCGTAGGAGCTAACGAAAAGGAACAACTGGACAAAAATCTTGCTCAGAAATTGAATGTTTGTCCACCTAGATGGGGGGTGAAGCCAAAAAGGTTTCACTGATCAATGTCAAAATAAGGATCTGGCCCTGTTTTTAGTGGCGTTACAGATGAACCCTTCCCCCACAAAATCCTCTACTTTTCAGGAGCAAACAAAATGCAGGTGGGAACCAAGAAAAACAGGCAGGTTCTTGTGTGCTCTGAGCATCTGCATTAAAAATCTAACACCAGCTCAACTGGAAATCTCTTGTTGGAGCTTCTGAATTTATCGGTTTACCCTGGAGATGGGGTAAGTTATCTGGACTGCCTGGCACACTCGGGCAAAATTAGCCCATTTTGGAGCAGATCTTTTCCTAGTTCCTGAATAAAAACCTATACATTTCTTCACACCTTTTGCCTGAAATCTAAGCAAACGGCTCGAGAGGTTCAACAGCTCTCAGGTAAAAGTTAATAGTGAAGCCACTGTGTTAACAACTCCCATTCTCCCCTTTTATATAGGCTTTAATTTTTACTCAGGTGGGTCAGATCTTAAGTAGCAGCAAATGGACACGATGCCACTGAAAAAAAATGTAGAATACGGCCTTTGAGCTTTATTTATTGATTCTCTTTTAAAATGCTGCTTCTCTTCAGAGCACATATAAAATGACCTGCTTGTATTATCTGCCTGATAATCTGGCCCATCAGGCCAGGGTGGTTTTCCTYGGAAAGCTCAGCTTTGCTGGCCGAGGGGATCCAAGGAGAGCCGCGGGTCCGAGCTCTTACCGGTGGCCCTGGAGGACCCGGTGGTCCCTTGGGTCCCAGCAGTCCTCGAGGTCCCTGTTGGAACAAGCAAACGGGGTGAGCTTAGCAATGTTGATGGATGTGTTCCTGTGTGCACACACCCTAGAAATGCAATGCTTTTTATAAGGATAATATAAACAGACATCTACTCTTTGGAAAGGAAGGCATCCCGCTTTAATTTTCTTTTTGGTTTTTTTTGCCTTCCTACTAATTCCCTCATAATCCTGAATTACCCTGTAATGCACACAGGGATGTAAAACACTTTGCAGCCAAGCCACTCTAGCTGGTGTTACGAGGAATGAATTGACACTGCTAATGGATCGTTAGGGTTGGCATTTCAAAATCGTTCCAGATTCAATTTTTATCATTGACAATCTATATAACTTGGCAAGGCTGGGATGGTTTGCAGCCTGCAGCCAAGAGTTTATCTTGAGAGGCATTTGGTTCCTAAACCAGAGGTAGCCAAAGCTCATGGCTGCAAATATGTAGATTTGGGATGTGTATTTAGGATTAAAAGCTTCCTGAAATGTAATTTATGCCTTTCCTCTGGGTGGCATAGATATTTTTTTCCTGTGCTGCTMATCCAAAAATAAACTTTCCTGCATGTATTATCATCATTTATGTCYGCCTTTTGTGACTGTATTACCTGAGAACATAAATGCTTTTAAGAAGTTAATAACCCAGAAGTTATTGCTTAGACATGTGCTAAGGAGATAGCCGGGCTGATTAATCTTTCCCAGAAGTTAATCAGACATCTCATCTATAATTTAGTTCCAATGAGTCCGTAAATGCCAACCCTTCCCTTTTGTACATGAAGTGTGTCCAACATTTTTCTCATCAATTAATCTCAGGCCACCGTGCTGGGACTTAAAAAGGCAAAATAAGACATTTAAAATCAAAGTTGATGGTAAATGATATATAGCTAATGTTCTTTTTATTACAAAGGAAATGTATTTTGGACACAATAAGCGGTTAATTATAGCACTGCTATAATTGCACTGCTCACAAAAATCTATGAGCTGTTCGAAACTAAGTTTATCCTTCCCAATAAAGTCAGAAAGACTTGGTATTCGGTGCAAAAAGAGCTTTCAGAGCCTCAAATTGACAACCCCACTGTTTTTCCCCCATCATTTTAAAAACGTTCCCTTGAATATTTCAAGACAATTCTGTTCAATAATGTTGGCATTATTAGCCTTGTTGATTACAGGAATTTGATTTGTTGCTAATCTTGCTTTAGGTTAACCTAGCTGCTCCAGTGTTAGCAATACCTATAGCCGTAGGGCAAAACATCGATAAATTTGCAGATTTAGGAAGCCTTATCCCCTGTGATTAGAATATTGACCCTACTGAAGTCTTGGCAAAAGTCTGCTTGAATTTAAGCCTGCTAGAATTTCATCCTGAAATTTAAACAGGACCATTTACACTGCACAAAGCTCAAGTGATAGGGGAGGTCAATCATAAGGAAGATTCAKGGTTAACTGCAGCCATCTGAGCAAAGCCAGTCAAAACCATCACGAAGGCAAAAATGTTCTCTAAACTGGCCACTTAAATCTTGAAGCAACAAAAGCTCAGGCCCTGCAAGACCTCAGAGGGCTTATTTAGCACCAGAAAAAAACTAAACATCACTAGCTGACCAAGCCCTTGACTAAAGCAGTGCTGCTGTACATCAAGCCAAGGTAGGAGGTACTTACAGGTTCACCAGGCAGCCCTCGAGGTCCAACTTCTCCATCATCTCCCTGTTTGGTAGCAAAGATGCCAAGAGAAACAGCAAAGGAGAGTAAACCCGTTATATTTCAGTCACATCACAGGTGTTTCCTTCTTGTTAAATAATAATCACACAGAAATCCGGCTCCCCTGGAGTAATAAAGGGGTAGCCATGCATAAGGAAGACATCGTAAGCCTTGAGACTAATGTTGTGCGCGTGGAATTTACTGAGGATTAGAAATGCTGTMAGGAGACTTCATAATTCATGTCAGTGCTTCTAAAAATGGATTTTGCTAATAGATGAGATACTGTAGGAACAATTCAAGGTGTACGAGTTCAATAACCTCCGCGTTGAGGGCTATCACAGCCTGGGATACTCCCTCTTAGGAAAGCAATCCTTGCAGCCAGCCCTTGTAAACCTGCCTCTTCAACTGGTAAAATTCTTTGTTTCTCCATTATGACCTCTGAGCTTCACTCCTCACATCCCTTAAACAGTTTCTCTTTTGCCTTAGGATTAAATTTTTCCCCAGACTCATTGCACCATTGAAAGCTTCGGCTGGGGGCTTTTCATCTTCAGAGCATTTTACCTCCACAAATAATTAGTCCTCAATTTTATGAGGAAGAGGATGTTATCATCTCTGCCATACAGAGGAAACAAATAGCTAGAGGTAGAAAAAGCACATYGTGGATGGGAATGAGAGCCGGGGAAATCTATACGCAGTTCCCTGATTAAACTGTACATTTCTCAGAGCTAGGTATTCAGCATTTTCAATTTTTCCTCCTAAACCAGCCCCTTTTAGGCCTGTAATCACTAAGTTCAGTGTTTTGCTAAAGGCCTTCCAATTATTGACCGAACAGCGTTAACGGAGAATTGAACAACTTAATCTTCGATTCCCCTGTCTGTCTGGAATTTCTGCTCCTTGAGCCTTAACGCAATTTGCTCTCTTAGAAAACAAGAAGTGATAACCTGCACACACAGATGAACAACATATTTTTCATTTTTAACAAAACCAGTTTTATGACCAAAAAGAATCATTAAAGAAGATGTCTCAGTTTTAACCATTTTTTCCCATCTCCCTAGGGGCTATAGAGTCTATATTCCCCTTCTTATTTACTTTTTTTTTCTTTCTTCTGCAATGTTAAAATGAGAGAAAATAAGAAAACAAAACAAAACAAAAATGCAACAAGCCCTGCCCGAGGCTGGCCTTCAGCTCGAGGTAAAATTTGCTTGATTTAACCCAGMAAACACGGCTGGAGTAACTCCCACCCTGCAGGGCCACAGCCACGCGCAGTGTCCCCAGGCTGCCTGCACAAGCCGCGGCCGCTCGGGGTTATCTGACTCGGCGTTAGATGACGTGCCAGGGTTTTACGGGCTGACAGGGCATCTGCTTCTCGTTTGCAGGATTTAGCTGYGAATGCAAAGGAGGGTTGAACCCAGAGGCAACTCACCCTCTCGCCGTCCTCTCCGGGCGCTCCTGGGGGGCCGTGGGGACCAGGCTCTCCCTATGAAGCAAAAACAGAATAAACCTCTAATTTTTGGCAGTTTGCATCAGTCGCCATGCCGTCTAAAAGCAGATTGTGTCTCCTATGCTATCTTCTAGTTTTCCTTTATTAACTCAATTGTTGTGTTCTTCCCCAGATCCGCGCAATCCTAGGATTCAGAGGCTTCCCTGGATGTGAGTGCCGGGACTGGGAGGATTGCAGGGCCACCCTGCGTGCCAGAACAGGCCATTCCCATCCTCTCCCAAGTGTCATGTCTTGGCTCTTCCCCGGCAACACCCGCCTCCGACCCGGCCTCATCCCACTGCCAAGTTTTCATTGCAGACGGCGGCCAGAAGACAACCGAAAAAATAACTTACCCTATTGCCCTTCTCGCCAGGCAAACCAGCCAAGCCATCAAACCCTCGGTCACCCTGAAAGAAAAAGACAGCTTAGTTCACATTTCCACTTGCCACTGAATATCTCTCCAATTCGTTTCCTYGCTGTATCAAGGAAGAATCAATTTTCTTCCGGAGATGTGGAGGCTTCACTTCTCATCAGACCAGTGGTGATTTCAAAGTTATAGATTAAAAAAACAAAAAATTCAAATAAAGTCATTGTACATCCTCCCTCTCCCCAGCACCTACATTTTTTTTTCTCCTGTATGAATTTCAGAGCTTTTCTAAGTGATTTTTTGCTGGTATCATGTATCTTCCTTCTGGACAGTTTCTTCCAGTCAACTTCTTTGTTATTTTTAATTCCATGAAACTACAAATCACGATCCACTAGTAGCAAATTGAACATCAGTATTTCCAGGCCYGCTAACAGGTCTACAAGCCACCCCTATGGCCAAGACATTGCTTTTAACCCTCCCGGACGCTCCGTGGAAGCAAATATATAAACCAGGGCAGTTCAGCACAGACCCTATTCCATCACGAAATACCCAGTCCCTTCCAATGGGCTAAGTCAAGTCTTGTTTTGGCCCCTTTCTGCCCCMAAAACCCTTGCAAGTGTCGCTGCATGTTGGAAGGCGGCTCTGTCTCAACCACCACGGGAGCTTGAACAGCTCATTTCACATTTAAGAACAGAGAATAAAAAGCAAAACTCAGGTAAATTTGACCAGAGGGGTGTTTGAAACAGGGGCTGATGCTGTCTCATGCTGGCCACTATAAGAAGCAGCATCACCCAGTAAAAGTCCTTTTTCCTCTGCAGAAGAGGGGTTGGACTRGATGGTCTCTAGAGGTCCCTTCCAACCTTAACCATCCYGTGATTCTGAGAAGAGGGAAGTCCCTTGTGAAAAGCCACACCACAGCACTACTGGTAAGTGCCAAGAGTACCAGCACACAATTCACCCTACCGCCCACAAATCCTTCACTTGTTAACAAGRAAAAGCAACTTGCTCCGAAGGATAAATCCATCCAGCAGAAGCGCAAAGCCTTTCAGTAGGCTGACCAGGACGCACACGCATCAACCAACAGCTCTTTCGTTTCTGTCGCGCTGTAGAAAATTGCTCTTTCTCTTCCCACAGCGAATTTAGTCTTCCTTTCCCGTGCCGTTCGTTACTCTTTTCCCTTCCTCCCCGGTATCCACTCCTCCGAGGGCGGCCGGCGCTCATTAAAGCGCTTTACTGGCTAAACGATTTGCAGTCTCTTGTCTCTGTATCACCCCCTCCATCTATTCCAGCTTTAAATATCTACATCATAAAGTACTTAAGCCTTCTGATACATGATTCCCCAAGCAAACTTTCTCAGCATTCAATTTTGGTCGAACAGCTCCTGTCTTGCTTGATAATACCAGCAGATCACAGCTGAACGAAGGGATTTGGTCTCAAATAACAAGGCATCAGAATTCCACACCACACCGTCTACATTTCCTCACCCAGTTAATAGGTGGTTTCGGGTAGTTATATTTTAGGGYATGTTCAACTGCTCCTTCATGTTTGTTTTGCTTAATTGAGATTCCCAAGTATTTGCTCTAAAACTGCAGCCATGGGAGTGTATTTATACTTAAGAGGATCCAGCAATTTAAAAAAACTTGCCCGAGAGAAAAAAGAACAAAAAAAGAAATCAGATGCAAATGCCCATAATACATAAATACGTGGCACTACCTTTGGGCCTGTCTGGCCTGGCATTCCCCTGGCACCATCACTGCCAGCGCGTCCCTGCAAAAGAGAAGAACAAAGTCAAGGCCAACGGGTAGAACAAGAGCCCAGACACCTGCTTGTTGGTCTGAGGGCAGTTTTAAGCTGGAGCCCAATGGATGGAGCAAGGGAAGGAAACGAGAGCCTGTTTGGAAGCAGCATCCCTAGCTCAGATGGACACAGGACGAGGAGCAGCCGCCACCAACGCCGCTCCCGGGGCACTCACCCTGCGGCCTGGTTTTCCTGCAGGACCTGGAGGGCCTTGGATGCCTCGTGGACCCTGCAAGGCAGAAAAGAGGGAACAGGAAACTGCAGCATCCAAAAGCGGGACAGATGCACCGAATCCTGCYGGCCCTAGCTCAGGCAGAGCGGGACTGGTGCAGGCCACCGGGGCTACAAAATGTGACAAAATCCCTGGCACAGAGACTGTGCATCCAAATACACATGGCAGTAAAGGAGTCACCTCCCCTGGGCCCACAGAAATGGAGTAATTATGGATTTTCTTAGCATCTCCATGGATGCCTTCACTGCCAAGGAGTACCACCTGCAGGAGTACCATCACTTTTTTTGCTTAAAATGATATTTCCAATCTGCATTTTGGGCACTTGAAGGTAGAGGCAAAGCAGATGTTCCCACACCTTCCTCACGTCAATGTCATTTAGGGATCTGGGTCACTCCTTCACGGCTGCCTCCCGGAGGGGACCTCCTGCTCGTCCCCTCCGCATCCCCCATCCCCAACCCTGCCCCTACGCACCTGCGGTCCCATCTCTCCTGCTTCACCCTTCAGTCCTCCGCTGCCCGGCGGTCCCTTTGGGAAGAGAAGACGTTTATCAGGCTTTCTGGCTGGAAATAYGGAGCAAGCCTCAAAGAAGAGGCACGTGCAGCTAACCAAGAAGCTTATGGAGCCATGGTAGCCCTCCATGCAGCAGATGCTCAGGTTAATCGTGTCCTCCGAGCACCACAGCAGCTTGTGCATGGCTGGCACCTGTCAGGAGCTTCCAYGCAAAGGGATAAATGTGTGGGAGGACAAAGGGAGACAAGAGCAACGAGGCTGCGCTACGGGATGCGTTGCACGCTGCCTTCCATAGACACAGGTTGCTGTCTGCTGCATGTCACAGAAACAAGAAATCAGGCGCCAAAGSTGCTGCCAGGCTCCTGCTTCACCAGCTCCATCCTCCTCCTCCTCGCCCATTTACTCACCACGGGGCCTGGCCGTCCTGTCAGGCCCATGGGGCCGGCCGGTCCTCTCAGCGCCAGCTGCAATGGGAGCAAAACAGCATTAGTTGGGCTCTGGGCTTCGTTACTGTCACCCTTTTTTGGGCAACTGTTTAATATTCCCACAACCAGAACAGCTCTTCCAGCAGGAGGGGCTGAGCTCAATAATTAAGTCACGCAGCCAGCATCAAGTCAATGATTTTCACTGTGGCTAATGGGGCAGTCCACATTTTATAACATCCCTTGGACAATTTGTACCGTTGTGACAATTCGATATTTTTAAAAGGCTCGTAATTATCTATGTACTCCAGTAATTAAAATCCACCCGTGGCTGCACTTGGAATGGCAAAAATACTGCACAAMTGCTAAATTGTGTGGCATCTTTTTACAGCTCTCCATTAAATAGGAGTTGCTYTGAAATGCTGCCTGCTGGGGCACTGTTTGGTGTCTATGGAAAATCAAATTTTAAGGGAATAAATCAACCAAATAACAAACAAAACAAGATATTTCCCCCATCTGCAGCACTCCTTTTCCTTTCCCACTACATACAAAAAGTTCCCCACAGAAAACTTTATTTTATCTCCCTTTCAGTTTTGTTAAGAGTTTTCAGTCGAAATTCTCTGATGATTGGTTGAAGCTTGTCCAGAAACCAATCTCTTCCTCATTGGAAATACTCTTCATCCACTGCCTGAGTCACACAGGATTTTTTTCTATGTATATAATTTTTTCAACATTTAACTGAACAATTGAGAAACTAGGGAGAAAAGGGAATTTTCTTTGAGGGAGGGAAGCAGGGGGCACTGCTTTGTTTTTTAAAGCAGTCACAATTTTCAACGGTCAGACAAAAAAAACAAGAATAAGGAGAGTCTGAGAGAGCAGATGCTTCTCATGAAATTTTCATTCAGTGAAAAATCCCTTCTCCCAGCAAAATAAATACCAATGGAAAAATCGTAGGCGGTCTTAAAATTAAGACTGATGAGGTAATGCCTGAATCATAATCCACCAACATTGTCCTCTGAGGAAGGTAAATGGCTGGGAAGACGCGGTGGCTGATGGCATCAGAGCCCTGCACTCTGCCTGAAAATGCTTCAAACTGAATACCTGGGTAAAAAGAGAGTTGGATGGAAATGAGAATAACCAGCTAAGCCCAGTCCTCACTGCAGACCTAAAGAGGACACACGCCACCCATTTGGATGGCAATCCTGAAGGTCTGTGTCCCTCTGCCTGCTGCCTCCCCAAACCTGTCCACACCTGGGGATCTTCCAGTGTCACCTTCTCCACAAGGTCCTGCCCAGAGCTGAAATTTGGTCCTTCCTGGGCAAGACTGAGGCCAGTAGACCAGATATGCCCTTGTGGAGGCCCTTAAGTATCTCCTTTTGCTGTAAYTGTGCCTGTTGCATTTCTGCTTTTGACATCTTGAAGATCAAATGTGGCCCATGGAAAGGAAGCCTCAAAAGTTTACTAGCTAGAAACTAAAGTTTCTTCTTAGAGTTTACAACACCAACACGCTCCTCTGACCAGGGAACAGGAACTGTGTTAGTGCTGTGCATGGCTGATCTAATGTCAGCAGTGAGGCCTAAATAATAAACACCCCAGGGTTTTATCATCAMTCAATGCAGTCTTCTGAGGAAAAAAAAATGCAAGGATATTCATCACCTATTTTCAAATAAATACATTAAAGAAAATGGCAGGCTGCCTGCAGAGTTCCACGGAGTTGCGAACAGCTAACTCCTGTGACATACATTCAATGACTGAGTAAGATTTACTGAGAAAAAAATAAAGCAAGTCACCTACAAAGCAAGCATACTCCACAAACCATTGCAGAACCAAGGGCTGCTCCTTCTGGCATCAGCAGTTTGGCTTATGCTGACAACAGGTCAATGTTGCCTTGACCCAGCAAAAGAACTTGCCTCATGCTGCAAGTTGCCCAAAATCTGGCCTGTTCCTGGCCGTTAATAACGGATCAAATCATACAAACGTGATCATCTTAAGCCATGACAGCAATTCTTCACCTCCAGCCAAGGTTGAGATACTGTTCCAACCACAGCACTGCTGGAGACGGTGCAACCGCAGAGACCTCTCCTCCAGGTCCATCGTTTTACTCCTCCTCAGGCACCCAYTGCAGAGCCCCCTCACTTACCCTCGCCTGCTGCAGGATGGCTTGGGCTTGGGCCTCCTGCGCCGACACGAGAGGTCCTTTGGAGCCAGCATCTCCTCCACCGCTGAAGCGGAACTGGTAGGGACAAGACAGACAAGGCAGGTTATGGGGCTGATTCCTCAGTACCTCTCTCCAGCATGACTGACCCAACCCCATCATTGCTCTTCCAAATTCTTATTATCTTATTCCTTCCTTCCAACACACACATCCACCTGCCCTCTTTGGGGACTTGCAAGAGGGACTCCCTGGGCTGCAGGRCCTTTTGGACAGTTTTCACCTCAGTTTCACCTGTGTTTCGCTTGGTTGGCACTAGGTACGTGACCACACTAACCCRGCAAACTGCTGCAAACAGGCACAATTTATAGGCCTACGGTTGGTCACTGCAAGGGCCAACAAGTGTATCGCAAGGGGCAGCTAAGCTCCATGTTGGGCACTTGGCCCCGGCTGCCCTAGGCACCCGGCCAGTAACCTACACACATATGACCCTGCTATTTAGAGCCTGGACAAGCGGGCTGTGGTTTTTCATTAAATACTCCTTCCCTCAGTACCTAAACMAGTTATTTTCAGCAGCTGGTTTCCTTAGGGCTTTCTCACATCAAAGCAGAGACAACTATAATCGTTCCTTTAGTGTCCCAGAACCAGGAAGGCTGACTCAGTACTTGCTAACTTCTTGTAAAGCAAAAAGACAAAGCAAATTTACCACTGGTCATCAGAAGAGGTCAGTTAACTTAGGTGTTTACTCTATCTGTATCTGTTTTGAAGGGCCTTTAGATGTTCTTCACCATACAGAGGGTTCTACCTACAAACTGGGCCCCAGGAGGTGTCTTCAGTTACCTCCTCGTGACTTTCATCCCTCAATACCATGCCAAATCTGAAGTAAATTTATTCATTGCTCCACACTTCCGACCGGGAAGATGTCCCAGTACTTGGAAAAACRTAAATTTACAGGAAGATTCACCTGGATTGTCCTTGTACATGAGGAAATGAGGGGACTTCCGCAAGAACTGGCACTAAGCAGTAACCAAGCGCAGGAGAGAGTCATTTCAATGTTTTTTTTTGAGCTACACTCGTACTTACAGGCAACATAAGCATTGTCCCTGGCGGTCCGGGTAAACCATCTGCTCCTGGAAGACCTGGGCGGCCAGGTGGTCCCTAGAAGGAAAACAAATTAAAATAAACTTCTAAAATGTCATCTGAGTCATGGCCTTACATAAGTAGTTGTGGCTGTAATGGCACGTGTCACGTTACAAAGGGCTCCCTGTCTTGACAGATACGGAGAGAGTCCTGTGGCATCCTGATGCYGAGGCAGAATCTGTGAAAGCAGATCTATAAATGCACGCGATTTTCCTTAGCAAGTCTCTCTCCTTCCATTCTGGCCCCTGCAGTTTCAAGGTCTGCCATAGGCAATGCACAATAAAAACCTCTGCAATGTTCCACACCAAAAAGAATCAATGTTTAGTCAGGTCTGTTAAAACCTATTAAAATAAAAAAAGTATATGAAACTTCGTAACTCAGGTTAGAGAAAAAGAAATGTGGAAAGATAAATACACTTCCATACGTGCTCAGTCATCTGGGTCATTCCATTTTTCTCTCTTCTGTCTTTCTTTTTTTGTCCTATGAGGCTACTTCTGTCTACAATTGAGCACTCCTGTCAGCAGCAGTAAATCAGCAAAGCTCGGAGGATTTCAATGGAGCTGTGCTGATTAATATCAGTTGAGTATCTTTAACTCATGCTAAAGAAAACGAGTATGCAGTAAAAGATCTAGAGATGAATCCATAAATAATCAAATATGGCCAATTTTCCTAAGGCAGCCCATAGATCATTTGCATTCCCAATTGTGTATTTGGTGAAAAGTTTAAATTAACTCAAATTTGCACATCCATCCGACAGTTCTACATGCACATAAGGATGACATCCAACTACTCAACGGGCATGCATAATTGCAATTATGACACCTGCTTATAGAGCTGTATGTGTGACAGGGAGGCCACGCTGGGGTGCTCATGTCATGGCGAGGTAACCAGAGCTAGAGACACCTCTAGGCTGAGGACTGACAACACTCATACACTCAGTAAATACCAATAATAGTCATTTTTGGAGCTTCAAAGCTCTTGGAAGAGCACGCAACAAATATCTGCATTAGTTCTCAGTCCCTTCAATTTGCCTACAAACCCATACACCAAACAAAAGCAAAAATAAAACCCTGCCACAAATCACAGACCCAAACGCACATGCAATAGTAAAGACTGTCCTTGACCCAGGGGAGTAACATGTTCATGGGATGAGGCAATGGGAGGTGGTAAAGGTGAGAGAGGGCACAGGGAAAGAGGAAAGGGTATAAAGGGCTTAAAGCAAAGCATTTGGGGAAAAAAAAAAWGGAAAATAGAAGAACAGCAACAAAAAAGGTAACTGAAGTGTTGTCTTAGCCCTCCTGTTTCCCAGTGAGATTGAGGTGCTCACGGGTCTCTTTTTGGAAATGCCTTGAGATCTGTTTTGCCTTGRGCTGTCCCAGGCACCAGCCAGGAGTCCCAAGGCAGGGAAGGGAGCAGAAGGGATTGGGAAGCACCATCCCCACTCCGCGCCGGGATAGCATCCCGCACCAAGGCTGCTCCCGGAGCTCAGCAAGCAGCTCTGCAGCCCGTGATTTATCCACAGCCCTCCCAGCAGGTCCCTGCGTGCGGGAGGACACCTGCCAAGCAGCCCAGCTCTCCGTTTTCCCAGATGGGCTCACGATGCTCCGTTCCTGCCGTTTAGGCAGCCTCTCCGACACCGGTCCCCGGCGCCGTGGGCGAGCGGCAGATCGGCACAGAGGGCRCTCCCAGCTGCTGCAGCAGAAGCCTCATCAATAATTTAGGCCAGACTCATATAATAAACTTTCCTTTCTCTCCCCACTCTCTCCTGGAGCTTCATTCCCACCTATGACGGATCTTCTGTTTGTGTGTTCTGCCTGACAAATGGTGGTGGAAGGTTTTGGCACATAAATGCCCGGTTTTGTTTCAATYGGAGCATGTGGGGTCTTCTTTCGGAGGGTGCAGGGAGCAGAAGAGGCAATGAAAAGAAGGAAAAAACCCAAACCATCAAGCATTCCTTCAATTTAGATCCAGGCTGGTTTTCCGAAGCCTCTGAATGCTTTTAGGCACCGTAGTAACCCAGCAGACTCTCAGCTGGTGTAAATGAGCATCACTCTAATTATGTAAATAAAGAGCTGCTGATCTATAGCAGCCAAGGAGGAGGGGGGACTTTAATTTTTATTTGGTGCAATGCTCCAAAATGCCACGCTGAGCGCAAGCATTAATGCGATCCTGCAAGGAAACATTTCACTGGAAATCCCAGTGTGTTGCTGCTCTGGCTGCTGAAAAGGGAGATGGTGACAGACGGGCTCAAGGCAGCTCAGTGCTCAGCACGGTCCCCAGCAACAGCAGCAGYGATCCGCTTGATAGCCCAACATTTTGGAGCCTCCAAATTTGCTTGAAGTCTCTCTCAAGGACTATACTTTGGTCATATTCAGAATTTCCAGAGAATTCCTTAAGAAAACATCTTTCTTGCAGTATTTTGGGGTCTTCTAGGTAGGGCCCCACTGGCAGCCTGACGGGAAAAAGGGCACCCTGAAAACTTCCAATATTTCAGAAGGGCAAGCAGGATTTTAGAGATGCATTCCATTTCTGAAATGCAAGACTGGCCTCACTGGGAATAAATCCATTGGGAAGCAATGTCTGCGATAGTCTTGGAAAATACAACCACTGCTTTGAGCAGACTCATCCGAGAGCCCAGCAGCAGCAAAGCACCAACGGTTTCCAGCACAGAGCRGAGTAGTTAAAGAGCTCCAGGCTGTTCCAGTACTGCAGATCATCTTGTAAAACAAGAGCCTATTTTTCCCACTTCCCTAATTTTCCCAGGAAACAGCTCTCCACTCTCCCAAGTGCCGTATTTCTACTTCCCACTACTCAGAAATCCGCCTAAACCATCCCAAGGCGCCCTCCCCTCCGATCATTTCTCTGGAATGATCATCTCTCCCACAGCCAGGCTGCTCTGCCGGTGACGCCAGCGCTTCTCAGCACTGTACAATAACTGGGATAAATGCACAAACTGGCATGATGAATGGAACAGAGCTAAACAAGTGTTGGCCGATATTAACATTGCTGAATATTGGCGGTACATTAACTCGGTGCACCTGCCTGATTGCAAATAAAAACTCTTTCCATCAAACGCAGGCATCTGAGATGCTGCTCACTTTACCCACACAAGAGCCATGGAAATTCATGAGCAATGTGCAGCTTAATAATAATAATAAACAAATTAAAGATTGGCTGCTTTAATTGGAAAGGAGTATTTTAATACAGTCGCAGCTCCTGGCTCTGCAAGCTCATCCCTTTTCTACGTGCAATATGTTGCATTCTGTCGTAGAAGCGGGAATGCTCCAGGCATTGGGATGAGCGTCTATGCTGCCATACCAGGGATTTCTTGGGATGCAAAAGCAGGTTGGGATCTACCCAGTTCAACCGCAAGGGTTCCCCTGCATGGTCCAGCACCCAATAGATGCAGAAGCCCCTCTTGGCCTTCCTGATGCGGAGGAATTGGCATCGTGGCATCTCAAAGGGTTAATTCCCCCATCCGTGGTTGCGTATCGGTGTGTATTGACTTCCTCAGCCTTGCAAGGCCCCGATCGATGGAGCACGGGCAGGGCCTCCGGTTCTCCATCATGTCACAACCACAAGAAACGCTCTTACTGCTCCATCAGAAAACAATAAATACACCAGGAGCTTCAATGAGGTTTGGAGAAGGGCTTTAGAAAGGCCACGGGAGCGCGGCGGCCAGGGACCTCCATCCACRATGCTCAGGAACCAGCAGAACAACAAAGAAGCTTAATTAAAAAATAAGCACCCAAACGAGGGCCACTGATACTCCAACACCCAAGCTATTTCCCTAAGTACTCCTTCACTCTCTCTTCAGTCCTTGCATTCTGGTGTCTTTTAATGCACTCTAAGGTATAATATGTGCTTAGTCATTTCCAGAAGTGGCTCAGCTCCGGTACCAGCAATCAGGCAGTGAGAAACACACCAGAATAGCAGGGCAAAACTCTGCCCCTCTCTCCCTTTCCTGCTTAGAGCTCCTTCAAACCTGATTGGATTGCAGATAACTGAGGAGCATCAGGGAAGTTGCTGCCAGGAGAGACAAGGAGGGTCCGGGCGTCCCTTCTGCTGGAAGTCATGGGACAACTCAGGAGATAAGTGGGACAATTCCCCATCTGGAAACCAGTCCTGCAGGTCTGTTAAACCAGCAGAAGACGCTCTTGGGCACCAGTGCCTGCTGCAGGTATCAGGCTGCTTTATGGGCCACAAAAACACAAGATGGGCCCATGTTTGGGTCCTTTGGACACTCGGGGAAATCCTGATTTAAGCCTAAAATTGGACCTTCCCACTCACAGTTCTTTAGCAGAAAAACCAAGAGTAATGTTTCCTAACAAGACTCTCTTCCCACTTTTACTCCCTTAGCCTTTTCCCTAGAGCAAAGCAGTGATTTACTTGCTCCATCAGCTGAACCCCGACTCTTCCAAAGGGACTACTGGACCCTTCCAGCTTTAAACTTCGGCAAAGCTGCTCCAGCAGCCAAGGCTGAGGCTGTTTTAGGCCTTTCTGTAAAACCAGAGCCCTTCTGTGGTATGGTGAATCTTCCACTAGATGTCAGGCCAAAATTACCACTCCACACACGGCTGGGAACAGCACGGAGCCCGGAGGGAGACAGCTTTGCTCCTACAAAGCCCATTGCAACGGGGGAACCCTTCCATGCTTGAGCACCTTCCATCAGGAGGAGAAAGGGACTTTGCACTGGGATGAGCAGTTCGGATACAAAAGCAAATGGCCATTTCTGAGAGTCAGGTCTGGGGAGAAGAGGTTATTTTTCTTCCTGTATTGCCAAGTTTATGGATTGCAGCTCGCTTGGTGCTTGCCCATCACTTCCTGAATCAAGGTTCAACTGCTCCCAAGCCAGACTATGGGATTTGAGGTCGCAGCCCATAATGTTCAGGAAATGCTGCCTTGAGCACAGACATTAGCGCACAAAGCACTGGTTGGCAGGGATAAAATTGATCTAAAGCAACGCAGATGCACAAAATCTAAGTTACTGCGCTGCTGAAGTTCATAAATCAGTCTCTAGTGACTGCTGGTACAGACCAATAATCCATGTTCTGAGAAGGTGAGAGAGTGCAAAGTGAAACCTCCCCAACGGAGCAGTCAGAGAGGAAAAAGGGAGGAAGGTGCTCGTTTAACCTGCAGAAAACTGCTCATCACCTTCACCCTGCCTGGCTGTTCCTAAATCATCTGTATCCTAAATCATCTGTTCCCAGCCACAAAGCCCTTATCCCCAGCCCAGGCTCCTCTAGGAACGACATCCCCCTCATCTTAATTTTAAGGGAATGAGGTTAAGGACTTCAGGGATTGCTACCAAAACCCTTGTGGGATGTTTTGGGACTGTGACCAGTCCAGCTTTGCACACATGCAATGACACAAGACTCCGGCCAAAGCAAAATCCATGGATACTCACTCTCTCCCCAGGGTCACCCATTTGGCCCACAGGTCCAGTTGGTCCTGGCGGTCCTGGCATGCCCTAGCATGGAAAAGACAGGAAAAAATAGCTATTTAAGGAAAAGACTTTATTGTTTGTAATTTATTTATACGAAGAACAAGAAAAAGAAATAGGGCTGTTGATTTTTGCTCCAGAAAACTGACCCCAAAGTCATATCACATGGAAGTGATACGTCTCACATGTCATATGGAAGTGACACGTCACACACGTGTCATACGGAAGTGACAGAGCCCCAAAACACCAGTGCACACCGAGCACCCGCATGCACGTGGTGCTATATCATAGACCCACCGCAGTGCTGTGGGCAGCCCTCACAGCAAGCTGCAAATAAAGCTCGACTTACCGCTGGCCCTTCAGGCCCGGGTGGACCTTCAACCAGCATGCCCTAAAACAGGCAGAAAGAGCAGGTGTTAGTAAGGGGCATCCTTAAAGGCACCCAAATACAGGGCTCAAAAGCCTCATTTGTTCTTAAAACCCCCTCAGATCTTGCTCCCCATGGATGCCAGGGCACCTTGTCCCAGCAAAGGAGCATCTTCCCTGCTCTGACCCTGCTCCCTTTGCTCAAGGRCAGGCAAATGGAGCACACCAAGGCACGAGCGAGCCTTCATCACGCCAGGGCAGCAGAGAAGAGCTCCTCTCTCCAAAAGTGCTGTCTCTAGAGCCATTTAAAGGGGGAAAAAAAAAGTTAATAATCAAATTGCAAGGTGGTTTTGAAATGACTTTCCTAGCAGGCTGCGTGCCGTGATTTACTCTGTGCACCCAGGAAATCACTGTGTGGGGAAGATGGTAGAATAATGTTATTTCATTCTTTTTAATCTAAATATTTTGTCATAACTTTAAATCAGCTATATCATGTCCTTGGTAGAATTGGATATTTTTTGCCTCATGTGTATGCGAGGGAGAGGAAATAAACCTTCCAAAAAACCTGGCAAATGCCTTCAGGGAAGGAACTGGGATGATCTGTTGGGGAGAACCTCCTGGCGAGCRCTGCCCTTTTCCTTCTGGAGCTGCCACCATGCACCCAGTGGGGCACCCAGCTCAAGCCAAAGCAGGTTCAGCTTGAAGGCTTCTCCATAGAAAACAGGAGAAGGGCGAATGTTTCTCCTTTGGGATGAGATCGGCCTGTACAAATCAGCAAATATCCAGCAGGGAGCCTGGAGGAAGCGAGYCCAGACCACAGGCCACTCGGCGCTGGGCTCAGCCGATGGCTCTAAGCCACCAAAAGGGTCAGCTGAGGCCACGGCGGATGGGGCCGAGCTGAACGAATCCAAAACACACGCAGCAATCCAGGGATTCCTGCCCCCGGAGCCCACGGCCCAAGAAAAGCAGAAATGGAGCAAAACACGCTCTGATGTGTGGTCTTTTTTTTCCCACTGGTAAAGAATTTAGCTCGTGGCCTTCACCCCATCCCCAATTTGCCTGCGATTTCACACGCTGCTACGAACAGCCCTGCTCTTCTGTGTGTGCACTGGGCMTTCCCTCATCCTGCCCTTTTCCCAGAGCAGCCCCGYGGCCGGGGAGGCTGCTCGGCAAGGGGGAAGGGTTTGGCCCTAGTTAGCRGTTCCGGATGCAAACAGCCTTGGCATCTTCCCATATTTATCCATTGGTTTATGTTGAGCTCCGGCTTGGGGGACATCTGGAGAGTCTCCTCGGGGAGACATCTCTCCTGTTTACATTGCTGCTCATCAAYGGGAGCGGCGGGAGGCACCCGGAGCAGGGGGAGGAAGAGCCGCCTGCATGGATGCGGCGAGTGGATGGATGCAGATTTGGGACTATCCAAGGGGCAGAGGGCTGATGATTCTGCCCAGGGATGCRACTCCTTCAGGAAACCCTCCCTGCAACCCAAGCATCACCCAAGAAAGACCAAAGGCTTCGAGGATGGAGGCAGCCCCAGAGCCTGCCAGCTTTTCCCAGCCTCTGGAACACGCTCCAGCCTGTGCTGCCCTCCAGCCTCCAGCGAGCGTCAGCACCGAGTAAGGACCGAGAACGGAAGGATGGAGCAAGAGGAGGGAGAACCTCCCAGAACCCGCTGCTGCCCGGGCTTCTCAGCCCCCTTTTGTAGCAGTTCTGATCACAAAATCTGCAGCAAATCCAAACATCTCAGCTGGGCACGAACCGAGCAGGAAGACGGGGAAAAAGCAGCATTTGGTCTTGTTTACTTTCTGGCAAAAGCCATAYGTGCTGCAGTGTTTGGAAACAGCCACGGCGGCCAAATTCCTTCTGGATGATTAAATTTAACTCTTTTGCTCGCTTGGTAACCTCTCACATTGGTTCTGGAGAAGGGCAGGCCAGGCTGGGGCGGCTTCACTCTCCCCTTCCCTGCTCCCCATCCTGCCTGCCCAGACTGTTCCCAGCTCCCATCCCAGCTCCGGCTCTGCCTTTGTTTGCAYGAGATCCCACAAGGAAGTGGAGGAAGGAAGGAAGGGTTGGAAATGCTGCTGCAAGGCAATGAATTGAGGCTCCCAAAATGCTCCTGCTSTCTCTTTTCCCTCCCCCTAACCGGCAAAATATTGGACACAGAAGGAAAGGGAGAAGGAATTAAAAGGAAAACTAATGGGCTCCAAGGGCTGGGAAGCGCTGGCGTCTCCGCAGGCGCCGTGCTGGCACGCTGCCAATCAAAATTAGGTTAATTGAGTTGCTGGTGTGCAGCGAGCGTGCGCTTGGCCCCGGGGACCCGGGCACCAGGCGGGATGGTGGTAATTGGAAAGGTCCAAACGGCCCCGTTACCAGCCCCGGCAGGCGGCAACAGCCTCGGAGGTGGAGCAGCCCATGGGCTCATCCAAGCCCCTGGAGACCTGGGAAATTCTCTCTGTCCATCGCCTCATTTTTAAATAGCCTTGATTTTGTGTGGGCAAATGCAAAATTTCACACGAAATTCTGCACTTCCTTCCTAATTTAGCATGCTTCTTGAGGTTTACAAAAATAGGGAATTTCTAAAATCTAAATAACCAAGTAATTGTTGCATGGGAAATGTTTCAAGCTGCTGTTCCAYTGGGAGTATCAAGTCACACAGAGCACACCCCTTCTACCTTTTTCCTGGGRAAAAATAAAAAGGTTGTCCTCACCGGTTCGATAATTGCAGGCTCGCCTTTCTGCCCCTTCTCACCCCGTGGGCCACCAATCTATAAGGACACAAAAAGAAAGAGTCAGTCACAGGGGCATCAATGGCCCCATCACTAGAGTCTGAGCAGGTACACAGTGGCGAAATTACATCTTGTATTGGGGAAAATACATCTTGGGAAGAATTATGCAGCCAGAGGACCATTAATATTTGACTAGACACAGAGCATCTCTTCCTAATTTGAGCAAGGACTTCTCTCCTGCACAAATATCCACTTCAGGTGCATGAATCCACCATTAATTCCTGCGCTGTAATGATGGGAAGAGAAACATTTTGGACGAGGTTTAGGTTTGATGCTGTCTGGAGGCTGGTGAGAGCCCGATTCCCTCTTACCCCTTCGTAGATGGTGTCCTGGTTGGCAGGCATTCCTGGCCCAATATCAGGGGAGACCGTCCGGTCATAATAGCTGTCATAGTAATTCCCATCATATTCTTTTATGGTCTCTTCGGTGAAATCTTTATCCAGGTCCTCTCCTCCTTGACCAGCCTGAAAACAGGAAGAACAAGATGTCAACATGCAAGTCTCCTTAGGCCACACATGCTGAAAATCTGACTGTCTTTTTTCTTTCTTTTTTTTTTTTTTTCTTTTTGCCAGGGAGAAAACCTTTAGAATAATGGTTGAAAATAATAATAAAAGAAAAATCACAATAAAAGTTAATGCCTGGAGTTTAAGGGTCTCCAGTGACCCATAAGTGTCGAGAAAGGCGGATGGGAAGATGCTCACGTCTACGTGCACAGCCTGGCATTCCCCAGGAATTCTCCATCCATCTATGAAGCGATGCAAGGTCACATTCCAGTTGAGGAAATCGAAGCACCTCACAAGCACTAGACATGTCTAAAAACCCATGAAATGGAAGTTTGGAATTCAACACCCAACTCATCTGTCCCAGCCTGAATACTGGAGTCACTAGATTATTAAGCACCAAAAGTCACACAACCAGTCCCACATTTAAATCCATATCAGAAGGCAACACATCGCTACTACAAATATCAAGCTATAGGTGGAACTATGGAAAAATCCAAGTTTGCTCATGTGAAGAAATCCTGTTTGTTTAGTCTGGAATCCAGGCTGCAACTGCGCTTGTCCTAGGAGCAGGACAGAAATTTTTGCAAATCTGATGCAATAATCCCCAAATCCTTCCCGAATCTTCAAAGCAACAGATGTTCTTGCTCACAGACAAGGACATTGAGATGAACACCAGAATTTCCCTGCCTTCTGTCCAGGTCTCTGTGTGAAAATCGCACCCCTGCACTTTCTGCAGCCTCCTAAGCCAACTGTCCCTTGGCATCCTCCAATCTGAGGAGCAATATAAGGAAGAATATGTGCCGATAATCATYTTGTTTTCCTTCTTGCCTGGCCAGGTGATGATCAAAATATCCATAAAACAAATTATTTCCAGTGCTTCCAAGAAAAAAATATCTCCTCACTACTAAGAATCCCAAATTACTGTTAAATGCCACCATCACTTCCAGACCTTGTGCTTCTGCCAAAACTGTTCAGCATCTATAAGCGTGAGCATCTGTATTTAATCAGCGAGAGGTTTTAAAATGAGAATAAACTGAATTTTAATACAGTCACCCCCCATCATCTTGCCTTTTTCTTACCTCTGCAAAATCCAAGTATTCTTAGCAGAAATTATACTTTGGCAATTGCTATAAGAGCATCTTTCCTTACTTGAAAAATCCACAAGCCGCCACACTAGAAAATCCTTCAGTTACAGGGGAAAGGGGGGGTTCTGCATGCTGAGATTTGTGCTACTTGGTCATGATGGGGAAACTCCTAAGAATAATTTTTCAAAAATGCTCTTAGGAAATCTGGATCAGAAAATAGCCCAGACGGAAGGMAAGAGGTCAAAAATGATCATGCAAAATACTGCAATTCTCCTTTGTTGTTAATTGTCTCACTTCAACCAACTTTTATTCTTCCCTTTTGAGAAACCAAGGCAGGTACGGAGCCTTGGTACCTGCACCTGGACAAGGAGYGCAAACAGAGCCTGATGAATAACAGGTAAAGAGCAGAATATATTTTCCTCCAGTTGCTCGTGTTCATGGGACCATTGCAAACCGCTCCAGCTCTTCCCTGGCATTTAGCAGCCACAGCAAAATCCAAGCCCAGGGTGAATTCATTGACTGAATTTAACCTACAGGCTCCAGAAAGTTGCTAAATTCCCTTGCAATTCCCACTAACTAGCTGAATCACGCCAGCGGTCCCTATCTCCTACCCAAATCCTCCTTCTAATAACAGGCATTAAGCCGGCGATTACAGGCACGAGACCCCAGATCCCAGCGCGCCGCTAAGCTGCTCAATCTGCTGCGGGATTAAAGGATTCGGGCCTCCTAAGAGCTCRAGGCCGCAGCCTTGGCTTCCAGGTGTAAATGTGGAAATCCAGAGGCTCCTGGGCAGTCCTGTTGCTCTCCAGGATCTTTGCTAAGGTCAACTGTGTTCACCTTAATCTCAAGGCAGGGGCAGGTTTCTACAGTAGGACCAGCTGTATCATCTGCTAAAGGATGCCCTTGGTCCCCTGTGGCAGGCAACCATCCCACAGCAGCCCTGTGGCCTTCCCCTCCCATGGGAAAGCTCAGGAAGCCATCCCCTTACCTCAACTTTCTTCAGTTTCCTACTCCTAACAACTAAAGTGGCCTTCCCTCCTCTTATTCCSTCTTTATTTCTTTTAAAGTCACCATATCCAATCCTCACTTCTTCTCTATTAGAAAGATCTAGTTTGGCCAAACATTTCTGGCTCTTTTTCAGAAGGCAGAAAAAGCTTCTCTCGGGTTGGCGCTTGCTTCCTCGATACCCCTGAGTGTTTCCCTGTTCCTCTCTCCGTGCATCATTTTGGACAGCGCAGTTTTTATCCCCGGTTGAGCAGACTCTTCCCTGCCTTGTCACGAGTCCCCAGCTGGGACTGGCTCCCCTTGCCTTGCTCCAGCTGCTCAGCCCTCTGCTTGGACCCTTTCCATGTCTGCACTTTCCACTTAATTCAAGCTTTCTGGTCCAGCTCCAGTTGTTCTGGCTGGCTTCTGGTGCCTCTTCTGCCACCCTTCATCAGTTCCCAGAAAGGCTTGATTTTTGACAGGCCCATAACTAAATTATTAATATGCAAGCACAAAGCTGCCAAGCCCAAACAAACCTCTCAGGAAATATTATCCCACTATTGACACTCAGAAAATATTATCTCACTAGTGACTCCACTTGCTCATAATCTTGGGCGACAAAATTATTCCTTGTCTAGCACCAAGTCACTCTCTTGCATGGCAAGAAACACACCCAGGTGCAGGGAAATTTATTGCAGTTGGATTTGAGAATGTGACCAATGCTCATGTATTTGAGCACCAATATTAAAAAGGAAAACCCAGACTAGTCTAAGGGTAGAATATTCACAAGAGTAACGTGATTTTTCTTTTGGTGAAACTGTGCTCCTTGCAGGGAACACTGATGTCAATAAGAACAGATTTCTCCAGCAGGATAATCCTCCACCAAATTCTACATATCTCTAGTCCATGCCCTGAAATATGGCCTGGAGTGATAATATTTTACAAGAACCTCCCYATTCCAACAGCTGCCCAAGTCTCTCAAAGCTTTACCACACGCACACCACAACTCTTTTCTCCGAGGGTTATGAAATATTAAATAAAACGCATTGAGAATTACCTCGGTGTCATTGTAGGTGACGACGGTGCTAGTGGGGAGCTCCGCTTCAACCGCGTTTTCCGTAAGGCCGCCCTGCGGATCCAGCTCCTCGTTGTAGTTGATGTCCTCGTAAGGCGGAGGGGTGAAATACTCCTCGTTGATGGTCTCGTAGTTGTACTCGTCCACGATGGGGTCGTCCACCTCGCGCTCCTTCTTCGTCTCCTTGCCGGGGGCTTCTCCATCAGGTGACTGCGTGGGCGCAGGGTAGTCCTATGGCAAAAATGTGGTTGAAATGACAGAATCAGGCAAACTGAGCAAGTGTCTGCATCTCCTCCTCAACTCCCCCATGCATTGCTCTGTAAAGGCAATGCATTAGCCACGTTTTCAGGAGGAATGCACGTCGGTACCTCTTTGGTCTCGGGTCCCTCTCCCGCGGCCGCCTCTGCAGGGCCGGGTTTGGTGGTGGGTGCTTCTGGCTTGACAGCTTCATCCACATCCTCGTAGTAGGGGTACTCGTAGTAGTAAGTGTCACTTTCTCCCTCCCCATCTGTGTACTGCAACGAGAACACAAGAACAGGAGGTAAATATCCAGCATCCCAATTCAGTCACCCAGGATAACACAAGAGAAATTTTTTGTCAATTTTTTTATTAAACAAAAAGTGATTTTTTGAGACTTTCTTCGTCACATCTTGCATATCCAGAGAGGGGATGAGAAAYCTTGAACCACGCAGCCGCTCCAAGAAGCAGCTCTGCTATTTTCATTCATGCAACCRTAATAATAGCACGTGTGTGACTTCGGATCGATCCAACGCCTTCAAAAACAAGATGTTTTCCACGTTTTCCACAAGGCGTCAGTCATTCTTCAGAATGCAAAACAAACAAAGCACTTGGTCGCAGCTGGGCACGGCACATTCCCCAGCCAGGCCGCTGGTTTCCCTGGCAGGAGATGCCGGCACACTGGAGTTATTCCTGCTCGGAGCCCCATGGAGCAGTGCAGAGACAGGCCAGCCCTTGTTGGCTCCGAAAGAGGAGCTTTATTTTCCTACTCCTTTGTATTTTGACCGTGTCAGAGTCTATTTTATTTTACTTATTTATTGTTTCTGCAGAGGCTGGGGGAGGCATTACAGCTTTTCCCCGGGGCTGCCTTGCTCTGATGCAAAGCAACCCGGCTGCAATGCAACCAGCCCTCGCAGACATCAACCCAAAAGTCCTTCAAGTCATAGGTGTTTTTTTTTAAATTTGGGCTCAAAACTGCCCCCAAAAAAGCAAGTTCAGTGCCCCACTGATTCGCAGGGACTCCCAGAAGCCCTCAGGTAGAAGGCCAGCCAAAAGGAAGAGCAGCCTGTGCCTCCAAATCAGACGCTGAGAGCAGCCAAGATTCAGAAGCGCCCGAGGGTGCCAGACAGTTCAGTTCCTGTGAGCGAGCTTGAGACCCCTTGAAAAAAAAGTGCAAATTCCAAGTGATGGATGCAAAGAGTCATCTGGCAATCAGCCCCATTCAGACATCTCTAATTAGCTGCAGCAGCAAGACAGGGGCAGAGCACTGGATGTAAAAAATAAAAAATCTTTGCTCAAATCTAATGCAGTGCAGCAGTAAATGCTGACAGTTTATATAGGGAAATATATCAGCTTGCAGCATTGCTGTCAAAACRAAATATAAATGGCAAATACAGAGCCAAATGGGACCCCTCTCACCATTCTTCTTTTTTTCAAGTAGTAACAAAGAAAGAAATTCTTAATCTTTCAAAATAGGTAATAATAGAAATTCAAATTTAGAAACAAGGGCCAGTCTTGCACATGGTGTCACCAGGCAGGGAAAGGTGGCACCTTTTCCACTGCAGTTCAGGCTGCCTCCGCTGACGGCCTCGGGGCTCCAAGCAAATATTCCCTTTAGCGACTGGGAACAGTGCAGAAACAAAGCAAAGCTCCTAAGGGAAACTCAGGGCAGCAGCAGAGCTGAGACGAGACCCTGCAAGCCCTAGAAACAAGCTCTGCAGCAGCACTGCATCCCGGCGCCTGTGCTGGCTGCACGGCCTCCAATTTACAGAGGAAGAAAAACTATTGAGGTCAATAGACCAGAAGAGAGGGGGAAAAAAAGGGCAAAGTTTCAACTCGAGCGCTCCCATTGATTTTGCTATCCCAATGATGCTGGTAAATGCAGGGTGATAACGCAAAGATGGGCAGATGACTTATGGCTGATCTGCAGCGAAGCCGAGCAGAAGCAAGCCTGCCCGGCTTGCCGCTGCACAGAGCAGCCTTCCTCACCACCCCTCCGCTTCCTCGGCGCGCTCCCCACTCACGTATTCGTCCTGGTTGGGGTCCTGGGACTGGGGCGAGTCGGGCACGGCRGTGTCGCAGTCGGGGCTGTAGTGCTCGCAGTAGTCGTGTGCCGCCCTGGGGTCCGCCACGATCAGGAGCTGCTGGATGTCGCCCTGCAAGGCGAGGAAACGCGTAAGGGAGACTGCTATGGGGGCATAAAATGACATTGAGAAATTAAAAGCAGATTAGGGAGCTGCTCAAAACTGCGCCTGAGCTAAGGCAGCCGTACGGCTCCCGGGGTTGTGTCAAGCAGCCACTTAGCACTGGCCACCCTGCATCCCAGCTGCACCTTCCCAAGGGATAATCCTATCTGGAGAGCGGTCAGCACCACGCAGCCCYGGCCAGGCTCAGCCCAGCCCTGCCGACCCGGCAGCGCCGACAGCCCCTGACAACGCGGGGACGAGGGCAAGGGAAACGGTCCCAGGGGCTTCAGGCTTCCATCTCTTCCTCATCCTCAACTTCCCACCCACAGCTGGTGCCTAACTTAGAAACGAGCCTGATAAGAAGTTAAAAAAAAGAAAATTGCAAGTGGTTTCTTGAAAATCAGATGCACAGTGAATTTACTGTGGCTGCCTAAGGACCACTTGATGCACAACAAACTACGCAAGGCGCAGCTCAAGCCCAGACACCAGCTCAAAATTGCTGTTCAGTTTTCTCAAGAACCACAGCGCTGCTCAACCTTTACGCCAAAACACAGTTTATCCAGCAGACGGTTACATAAGAAAAGCCTTTGCTACTTGGATTATTAGAGCCGATGCTTTAATTGGGGAAAAAGTCTCATTTAATAATAGAAAAGTATTGCTAAGGCATTAAAGAAAAAAGAARAAAAAGAAGCATTACAGCAAAACTGGGAGGATGACTTGGGCACGTAATAGGAACCAGAAGCTCAGAATGGAGTCTGGCCAAAATGTCTAAAAGCCCCATGGAAAACCAAAGTATATTTCTGCGCCACCGGGCCAGCTCTGCTTTCGTGCATGCGAGCGCGGCACCCGCTGCAGCTGCGGGAGCAGCCGGAGCGCGAGGAATTCAGCCCTCCGAGCCACTGCTGCCATCTGGACACCCACCACAGCACCCCCAAAACGAGACATTTACCCCACTGGTAGCAACCCACAAGGGAGGCAGGGTTGCGAGGAGCTGCGTGGTCCCAAGGCCACCCTGGCCCGTTTCCTGCAGTATCTGGGCAGCTTTCAAACACTCCGAGACTTATCCCAAAACCCAGCGTTGGTTTTAGCTTGTTAGTCAGGATTTCCTGCGACTAACTTTTTCAAGATTAACAGGAACATCTGCAAACAGGTCTCCAATTACCATTTTACATCAGAAAAGGACCTTCATTCCCCTTCTCAATTATTTTGAGGAAATCACTTTTGTTATTACTGCCGTACAATTTTTCCATCTAATCACTGAAAACAGCGATGCAACAGTGGAAAAATGGTCAAAAACTACCAGGTATTTTCCTCACTGAGCTTTTGCCACACCAATAGTGAGAYGAGCAAAGGGAATAGAACCAGGATGCTTACCCGGCTAGGATAACTTAAGTTAACCATGGGAAGATCTGCTTAGCTCCTATTTCCCAGGACAAGTTCTCAACCACTTCTGTCCCTTCACTGCCAGCTGACTTAAGCCATCAATGTCCTTCTTTTGGTGGCTCTAACTCCTCACTTTCCATCAAGCTTTGGGGAGCCTCCTGCACCCCCGGGATAAGCTGAAATAAAACAGCCACAAAGCAGAGCCGACACTTGTCTCCGAGAGGCAAGGAAGGAAGGCTGAAAGCTTTTTCTCCCTGATAAGCCTGGATTTACACCTCAAGCAGCGCCGATAGGCTGCATCCTATAAGTAACAAGGACTAAAACTCTGTTTCCTTGAGGAACAGATAAAGCAAAGAAAGGCACGTAGGCTAAACACAGTGCAAAAGGTTAAGCGGAACAGAATTCTTCACCGCTGARTTTGCTTTTCGTCTCAGCTGACTGCAGCTCCTGAGCTGCGCATGGGAAGAAATCCCAGCTCGATGTTCAATGTCATTTTCCAATTTCCTTTTCCAAGCCCATCCATCACCCTGCCCATCACTCTTGCTGCTCCAACAACRTGCAAGCACATAAAGCCAGAAGGAAAAAAATCAACGATTTTGGAGGAATGAGAGCCCTAGGAATCATCTGAGCTCTCGTACATTGAGATGGGGTGAGCGGCTTGATGGCAGGGGAAGGGGGAAGACACTCCAAGGGCCGCTCGACCATTCATCCTTGTTTCATTAGCAGCAACTGCCGGGCACCGGGGTTTACCCTGTTTTAACACTTATGAAAGGAAGACAGGAGCGAAACCTTGTCAAGCAAGATTCCTGGTCAACTGACCTCATCCTTCAGCGCAAAACAATAAAACGCGCTAATTTAGCTGGCAATAAAAAGCCCTGCTATCTGCACCTCACAAAGGATGCACAAAGCTCTGCTGTCAAGATCTCCCGTTCCTTTGATTTAAAAAGCTGATTTGAAATAAAGCAAGCTGTGCGGGGAGGCTCGCGAGCCTTTTGTGGCCTCTCAAGTGTGTTGCCGCTAATAAATATTGCCCCGATAGCCACCCCCAGCCTAGGTCCATGCCCTCGTGCTCTCCACACACCTACAGACCTTCCACGAAGCCACTGCAAGACCTGTAATGTGCAACTGCACCAAAGTCAAAAGTTTGAAGGTTTACCAGCCAAGTAATTTAGATTTTTAAGACCTGTTTTAAAGTAGAGTCCAAAAAAGCCAGGGAGGAATTGGGTAAATGCACTGAAAGGGCTCTGAGAAGGAAAGCAGCAAGGTGGCAYGTGCCACCAGCCTCATCTTTAGGGACATTGATGTGCTGGTGGTACCTGGACACATAGGAGGCTCAAGAGAGCACTGAGACCTGATATAGTCCATCCGTGGAGCATCAACAGCAGGTGGGGCACGGCCAGGAGCCCGGACCACATGGAAGAGCCTCCCAAGGCTTCGGCTAGGATCAACCTGGCCCTAAACGCCATGGAGTTCCTCGACTTTGCAAATGGTTTCCTGCAGCGTTATCCCAAGAAACTCAAGACTCAATTGAAGCTGGAGCCACAACCTTCTCGATGCAGATTCTCTCGCTATTGGGACAAATCTAGAGCCCAAACTGGAGTATTTCAAACTGGAGTATGCTTCAATAATTGCAATACTTCACATCACATGAGGGACTACTCCACTTTCCCATTTTAACAAAAAATGAAGCAAGGGGTGGGGAAAAGCTAGTTTTGTCTGAAAAATAACTTATTTAATTCACTAGAAGGTCTACTTGAAAAAAAAAGAAACAAATCCCATTTTGACCTTTATTCATGAAAATTTCAATGAAGACGTAGGAGAGCATATTTAGGAAAACGATTGTGAACTGTGAGGTTTTATTTGTTCACCAAACAGATGTAAGTGCTAACTGTCATGACCAGGAAGAACGTGTTTGACGTTTATGGTAAAGCCATTTATGCCGGATGACTCATGCGCGTTATGGATTAAGTTCCACCAGGCCGCTCGAATTCAACTCCCAGACCAGACTGGAAAAGCTTCTCTGGAGCATTTTTAACACTTATTCTATACGTGTGCAAAAAAAAAAAAAAAAATGTCACATCACTTCCAATGACATCAACTTGAGTAACTCGGAGAAACTGCTGCGGTTCGACAAAACAAACTGCTGGCGAGGACGCGCGCGGTGACTTCATCTGGCATTGGCAGCAGCTCCATAAATACTGACATTCTTTGGGGCTCTCGCCGCAATGCACTAATAATTAACTGGACTGTTGTTTTAGTGCGTTACAGCAGAAGTCTTGGAGACTCTTACTATCAATAAAAATAAATACTGCTTGACGTGTCTTTTTTAAGCTCCCACATTTAAAGCGAATAACCACAGGCCCCGTCCAGCTGCAACAAGAAAGATCGTAAAAATTATCTGAAGCAACTGGGATGCTGCTGTGTTTTCTTTTACGGTGACATAAAGCCTTGGTGTTTCTACAAACGCAACCAAGTCAAGTGGCTAAACAGTGGCAGAAGTTCAATGAGAGCCCATGATGCAGTGAAAGCTTTGAAATCCCAGCCACCAGAGTCTCCAAAAATCATAATCCCTTTCTCAGAAAGGGCCTGTAGTGGCATCATCCAAACATTCTTCATTTAAACCTAGTTGTTCCAGAAAAGAAGCCAAACTCAAGCAAGAGATGCAAGGCACGGCCTTGTCCATGGCCCTTGCCACCTCCATAGGCCTCCTTGCCTGCTGCCCTAGCCCTTCTCACTGGCACTGCAGAAAATCAGCTCAACAACAGCTCCTAGGCCTCAGGTGAAGAAACTGGGACCTAAATGACACCCTTCGAGCTTCCAAATAATCTCCAGTATGAAATCAAAAGAGAATAGTTGGAAAAATAGCTCCAAAAAAAGGTCTTTACTCACAAGTAGCTATTGAGAGACTGAGTGAGCTGGGCCTGTTTTCTCTGGAGAAGAGAAGGCTSAGAGGGGATCTGATTAATGTGTATAAGTTCAGGAAGGGAGAATGCAGGGAGGAAGGGGACAGGCTGTTYTCACTGGTGGCCAGCRACAGGACGAGGGGTAATGGCCACAARCTGAARCACAAGAAGTTCCGTCTCCAGGTGAGGAGCAACTTCTTTACTGTKAGGGTGACAGAGCAGTGGAACGGGCTGCCCAGGGAGGCTGTGGAGTCTCCTWCTCTRGAGGTCTTCAAAACCCGCCTGRATGCCRYCCTGTGCYACATGTCCCTGCTTGAGCRGGCAGGTTGGACTAGATGATCTCTAGAGGTCCCATCCAGCCTTGAACATTCTCTGTGATGAATCTGCTCCAAAGCCGTGGTGGCCTGGATAAACCCAAGGCTCCGAGCACTACGGTAGGAACCTCTGCTGATTCTTTCTTCAGAAAAGCCACGTTTAACTATGCATGAAAGGGACAGAAGCTTCCTTAAAACCAAACAGGGCCCCAAGCAAAACCCTTCTGCAAGAGCCAACAACATTCCCTCAGTTGTCCCTCGACAACTTTCTTYTTCCAACACATCCTGCACCTAATTCCACATCCCCATCTCCACACGACCCCGTTACCCTCCTGATGTTGCATTAAAACTAGACCCCCCTTCCCAGGAG